CTATCTAAACAGCCTCCCCTTTTTTCTAGGGTTCCCTCCTTTCAAGGGTCCCTTCATTAATCACTGCTGCAGCATTGGAAGAGCTAAGGACCCCCAGAGCTACCACTAAATTCTGTAGAGTGGGGTAGTGTAACTTTAGAAAGGTGTTTGTCTAGTATTTATGATTTTACCCTATGCCCACAGCACATAACCCTGTGTTCTTGAAATGATTTGTATGTCTACTTTTCACTTGAAACAGTACTTCTGGGTTTGGGGAGCTGGACATTGTGTGGAAAAGCACATGCTTCCAAATTTATGAACACATGTCACTAATTGCTTCAGGCACCCAAATGGCAGCTTGGCACTATAAATCATCGCTTTTTCTTTAACAAGGCCAACTGGCCTCAAGTTCAGACAACAGTGTTGGCTCTATCATGCTGCTTTAAAAACACACACACACACACACACACACACACACACACAAACTCAGCAGCATGTGAAAGCAATGAACTTCCTAAAGGATGCAAGAGGCTTGACCCAGACAAGACCTCATGTCACTCCCCTTCGTGAAGTACCCGGTTCCTGTTTTTCCCCTTCGGTCACCTTGCAACAGAAGAGGCACACATCCTTCTATTCTACTGAAGGAAGCTCTTACGTGTGCAAATGCAGAAAAAAAATGCAAGCTCAGCCTCAGCCAAATATGCATTCCCTTAAGTTGTCAAGCTTTTTTTTTTTTTCAAATAGCTGTGACTACAAATGTAAGAATGGAAAAACTTTTAAAATCACTTAGAAAAGAATGACCCTTTGGCTTGTTTTCAATACAAACAACTATAATGAGGTTATGGTTTTCAATTTGCAGTCAATGTGCAGAATAAACACATGAAGTGCTGATTCGGTGGTTAGGAAAAGAGGGAAAGACAAGCAAATCTTTTACTAGAGTGGGTTCAGGGTTAAAGTCTTGTTGACTCAAAGTGAACCCATGTCTTCGGCTCAGCTTTGAATAACACCCCACATTTTGACAGTGGTTGGATGGCAAAAATATAAATGAATCACAGATGTTGTCTTGGTTCTTTCACTTTTGCCTTTTCTTGTTCACGTTAAGTATATCACAAACACTTCACCAAAAAAAAAAAAAAAAAAAAAGTCAGCTTGGGAAAACTCCTCCTTTTCGCCTTTACCGTTAAGCCACACAGTAAGTCAGCCTCATAAAGTTAAATCCAAAAAGTTCATCTTCCCCCTGCAGACTGCTCTATGTCTTGCCAGCTATGTTCTGAATCCCCACAGCCCAAACTGCAAAAAAAATGGTCCGACAGTGACAGGGCTGGGACATTAGAAATCCATAATCATTTAAAATCCATTTGCTGTACCACTAGAACACTGTATTATGTTTGTTTTTCAGCTTTATATGCTTAGGGGCATTAGAAAGAATATATGTTAGGTATCATATAGAAAACTCATATAAACTAACTTTTAAATTTTGATTTAACGAAATATGATATTAGCTTGAAATTAGGTGTCTGTTATTATGAACAACTCCCTCTAGTCCCTAGCATGCTTAATGAAAACACTTAGGATGTTAATGTAACCTACCCATCCACCCTGGACATTCACACAATGAATCAGGTGTTACTCACATGCTTCGTGGATTCCCGGGTGATCACTGAATTCCAGCACGTAGAGGTGGCGTCCCTCTATACTGCGCCCGATGCTGTAAATGCGTGTGATGTAGTGGCACTCGTTCTGCACTGCAAACAGGGCTCGCACCATGTCTTCGTATTGGTGATGCTGGAAGTCTGATCCTGACACCGGGAGCCCCATCAATCCCGACAGGACAGCACAGAGCCAGGGAAGAGTCCACCCCCGCTGCATGGTCCACCAGCCCAAGTTGTGCAGCACAGGAGGAGAGGAGAGGAGGCTGGTGAAGAGAATGCCTACAACTGTGCAACACACTCAGATGTATATTTATCTCTTTACACACCAAACATACTGCTTTACTCCCTGCTGTCTCTCTCTCTCTCCTTTCTTGTTACCCTTCTTTCTCCTTCCCTCCCTCTCCCTCTGCCTCCTCCCACATACAGTCCTCACACTGAAGAGCAAGTATGGACAGCCCCTAGCTCCTTCTTTGTCTCACTCTCCTCCGCCAGCTGCTTCTCTCCCTCTCTCTTTTGCTCTGGGCCCTTGTCAAGTACATGCTACTTGCTTTATTGGCGCCTAGAATGCTTCTGCTTCAAATAGTTTTCCTCACAGCGCCTTCGGCTCTCTGCACACACAATCAGAATTTCATTCTGTCTCTGAAACACTCGTTTTCTGTCCCTTTCTTTGTCTCTAACCCTTGTTCTATACTCCCTTCCTGGGAAAGAGGGGTTGTTTCCATGGCACTACTCTCCCCAACCCCTGCAGCCCTCAATCATCCATTCATTAACTCTTAAGTCAACACACAACCCCTGTGTGTCTGTGTGTGTGTGCACGTGTGCACCTCTACTCCTCAGACGAATCACTGTGAGAGCTCTTCTGCAACCTTTGGACTGGTTTTGTTGTTCTGTTTCCCTGAAGCAGCATTCATACACACACATAGAAAACATAATCTCTTGCTCATATGGCTCAGAGAAGAATGACCAAATGCTGCAATTAAACTTCCAAAAGACACCGGCTGATGCCAAGACACATGCACCCCCCACAAACACACAGACACACACTGCAGAGTGTGCATGGGGTGCTGTCAATCAAACCTGCTGGAGAAAAGAGGAGCCTTTTCCTCACAGAAAGTTGTGCAATGTCTTGTGGAAGTTTCAAAAAAGAGAGAAGGAAAGGCAAAACATGAAGCAAGAGTTGCAGATGGAAAATTGAGCAACAGGAGGCTCTAGAAAGGAGAATCATCAAAAAAGATGAAGAGAAGAGGAACAACTTACAGAAATGGAAGGAAAGCAGGAGAGAGTGTAAGGGAGGGAGATACAGACAGAAATGTAGTCAAAGGTAAAAACCAAAGTGTCACAATTACACATCATATTCTGGATAAGCTAACAAAGGCTGCTGTGGACTGGTCCTCATTGTGTCTGCTGATGACTGTGTTTCTTCTGCTTCACTGTTTACATCTCATATGCCTCCAAGCTCAGCTCCTCATGCACCAGTCACTGAGTAGGTCCTTAGGTTCATAATCATCCTTACCAAAAGGCATGAAGGAGAATGACTTTGACCCCTTCACAGGCTGATGCACCCTTCACATGCGTTCAGAGGCTCTATAGATCACTCCTTGTATGAAAATGTGGATATAATTGGTACAACAACTGTGAAGACAGGTCTGAGGAGTGCTTGGAGTATAAAATAATGCATTATTAAGCCATATAAACTAATAAAATCGCAGACTGTGATTGTCATTTCTTTTAAAGACAAAAGTATTTATATTTGTTAGATCACATGTGTCAAACTCAAGGCCCGCGGGGGGAATCCGCCCCACCGGATCATTTTATGTGGCCCTCGAAAGCTTAAAATGCGTATGGTTGTCTTAAAATAAAAGTCTATACTACTTGAAAATGTACACTGATCATAAACTACATCTCCCACAATGCACGTCGATTTCGGGACCTGCGAAGTATTGGCATCCCGCCACTAGATGGCAGTGTTTTGCCTTCAGCATTTAATCAGCAACTTCCCGATAACTGGAAATGAGAAATACAATACAAAACAATTAATTCCAAAATGTCAAAGAAGAGTTTGATACAGAAGGAAGGGAATTTAACGAAAGGTTGGAAGGCGAATATTTGTTTCTGCTTCAAGGAGAAAACCCGGTGTCTTGAGGCAGTGTCACCGGTGAAGACCAAACACGGAGCTTAACATGCTAAATTTAGCCTCCAAAAAAAACAAAACAATGAATTGTCAAAGAATTAAGAGACAGACTGCAATTCTGCAATCCTGTTTGGTCCGCGACTTTGACTGTGGTTTAATTTTCGGCCCCTTTTGTGACACCACTGTGTAAGAGGGTTCAACCAACGCATTCATGTATAAACTGACCTGTTCTTAAACCAGATGTGCCTTTCTTACTTACTTTAAAAGACTAAGTGTGGTTCTCACATTTAGAGTCTGTGTCGAAAGCAAGAAATAAAAGAAATTCAGTCAAGCTTTGGGCATCCAAAATCAACAGTTTTATTACAAACAGCAGCCAGATGTTTATTTAATGGGAACAAACTTAGCTATACCAACATACGTTTGGGTCATTACTCTGTTATGTGTTGCATTAATAAAAGAAAATAGTCTTACCCGCCCCTAATAAATCCTGCATCTTAAATGTTTGGACCCACCAAGTTGTGCTCAACCTTACAATTTATGTCCACTAGAGGGCAGTGTAAACTAACGCAAATCTCAAATAATGTAGGCTTGATTGGTGTTTTATTCCTATTATGCCTATTGTCTTTTTGTACACTACAATAAAGCCTACATATTTTAATTAAGCAGTTAAGTCAAAATTATTTTAACAGTGCTGAGAAAGTATACAGAAATTTAATTTTCACAACATCTAATCTGTCTTGGTTGTTAATTGAAATTGGTATAAATGTATGATATTTAGATATTGCATTATTGCACCCTGTGCGATATTCAGTAAAACAAACTTTTAAACACAACAAGGTCCCAGCTGGTATACTAAAGTGTATCAGACCTGCTCACCAAAATAAAACCACCCAACACACCTCTGTGGGCGCTGCGCGTTTCCCACCCACTACTTTTAATATTGTAATAATGAAAGGAAGGGAAGTAGGAGGGCGGCTTTTAGGCATTTGACTGTATTTGGAATTGCGTCGATTACATATGAAAGTTTTTTTTTCTTGGTCTTTGCTGGTTGCACTCACACCGCAGCTCACTGGCAGCCCCTTATTTCACAGAGTGCGCGCACCAGGATGGGTGCTGTTCCGGCGCAGAGGATACTATGGATTGGCGTTTTGATCTTTAGTGGAATAAAACAAGGTTGCGGTGAGTTATAACTTTATTATTCTGCTGTTTTTATATTTGTGCCTATGTAGCCAAGAGTATGTCGCAGTGAAAGAAGCATTATGCTGTCCCAGCACAATGCATTTGAAGCAAGTGTTCAACAACATAAGACTTTAAAATTATGTTCTGAAATTCCTTTCAAAAGAGACAGAATGCGTTTGTCCGACAAACGTCCAGCTTAGCGTGACGATGCGTTTAGTTTGCAACATATAGGCCTGCATCATTTTGGAACAAACATTCATGTCCTTTAGCCTAAGTAAAAGTACCAATACAGCAATAAAAATTTTTTTTTAAAAAACCTTTCCATTACAAACAGAACTCGTGCATTTAAATGTTTTCTTAAGTAAAATACAAAAGTGTTAGTATCTAAATGTATTTAAAGTAAGCAGCTCAGATCAACCATAGTCACATGAATAATGTGTGAATGCATGAATGAATACATAATATCTTGTAGCTGGTCAGAGTGGAACTAGTTGTACACAGTCAGCAAGTCCGGTGAGGCTACTTCATTATAAAGGATAATGAAATAGTAAAGTACCTTAAAATTGTTTTACATACAATACCTGACTACTTTCCACCAATTTATAACCAACACATGAAATTCCTCTCAGATTGGTATCACTGCATCAGATGCAGGTCTAAAAATGTAATTTTCTTAAGAATCAAACAAACAAAAAAACTGTATGTTTAACTTGTTCAGAATCAGAATCAACTTTATTGGCTAGGTGTGTTGAACACAAAGAATTTGACTCTGGTACAACGGCTCTCGATGTGCATGTAAATATCCCCATGCAAGGAAACAGAAGGGGAATCTTTCTTTTGGCTTCAACCTTTTACTAGAAAATAAACCAGTATTCTGATGCCGCATCTAAAAGTTGAGTTTCCTGTGCAGTTACATGGATTTTCTATATGTTATAAGAATTTCTATAGTTAACAATCATATTTTTTTCCACATTGGAGTTGAACATTACTAATAAAGAATTTTTGAAAACTCATTCTTCTTTTGTCACAGGTTCAAATGTGTGTACCACCAGAGGGGCCAGCACCTGCAAGCAATGTCTGGCTGTGCACCCCAGCTGTGCGTGGTGCCTCCAGGAGGTGGGTTGCTTTTCCACTTCACTTCATTTAGGCAGTCTGCCAGCCAAGCTGGTGCAGGGTGGTACAGATCTCCTCATCAGCCAGGTAGACTGGCTGAGCTATGAGGACATCAGATAGTTTCAGGTGAAAAGTAAAAGAACACGTTAACCCTTTGATCTTTGTACTAACATCTGTCTAGGTTTTGATTTAATTCATAGTGACTTAAATCCTGTAACCACATCTGGATATAGTCATATTTTCTGTTTCAAATTCAGCTTAGGAGTGAACAAAATTTTCTCAGGATGACTTCAGCCTGAAAGATGGTGTTCAGAAGAATTAGTTTAACTGTTTGAGGGTGTTCTGATAGGATGTTTCACTTAAATTTGAGGTGCAGGTTTGTTGGAGAGATGTCGAATTGCTTTGTCACTCCAGGAAATGTTTTTTTAAGTAACATATTGTTGGGCTGTTTCTTGACTTAGTCATCCCCATTATCATTTAACCTTTAAATGAATACAATATGCCCTTTTCTCTCAACCAAGCTTTATTACAGATAGGAATTCTGTAAATAAACAACTATTGGATTACATTTTAATAAATTAAAGAACTTCCAAACAAATGTGAAGGTTCCTGGAAATTGCCTGCTCTTCTGCATTAGATTTTGTGCCTCTTCTGTCAGAACTTTGGCCAGGGAGGTGCCAGCTTGTCCCGCTGCGACCTGGAGAGTAACCTGGTGGCAGCGGGCTGTGCTCCGTCAGCTCTAGAGTCTCCAAGCAGCAAAATGCAGGTGATTGAAGACCGGCCCCTCAGCAACAAGGCAGCAGGGGCCACACAAGATGTCACCCAGATCAAGCCCCAAAATCTCCACATCATCTTGAGACCAGGTGAGCTGCTTCTTCTCAGTTTGTGGTTTTTATATCTATGACCTAAATAAAGATTCTAACATAATGGCAAGAAGAGAAATGCTTTCATTCAGAGGGAAGTCACACAAGAAAGAAGTAAAGAAGTGTAGTATTATCACTGAGTGTTTGAAAAGATGCACACAAAAAACATAAAGCTATAAAAAAGGTATCTATCACATATCCCAGACGATGCTCAGCGTTTCACAGTGGAGGTGCGTCAGGTAGACGACTACCCCGTGGATCTCTACTACCTAATGGACCTCTCCTACTCCATGGATGACGACCTCTTCGTTCTGAGGACGTTGGGCAAAGGTCTTGCGGAGGCCATGAGTAGCACCACCAGCAACCTCCGCATGGGATTTGGGGCTTTTGTGGACAAGCCGCTCTCACCGTATATGTTCATCTCCCCCAAAGAGGCTTTGAAGAACCCTTGCTACAGGTACAGGGAAAGTGAGAATATGTCAGCATGATCGATGCCACGCTGTCCTCTTGCATTATTTTTTATCAAGAGTGTATTATTTTTCCATCTTGGACAATACAGTGGGGTCCTGCAATTTTGTGACAACCACTGTCAAATTGTGAACTTAAATTCCTCGTTATTGGTTTCTGAATGAATTCATGTTGATCAGCATTTTAAACATAGTTGCATATGTCTTCTGCTTTAGAGACATAAGTTCAAAATGTAACTGTGGGAAATACGCTGACCTTAGCAGGGGGAAACGTAAAACCTGCTGCTGCTGCACAGATTAAACAAACAAGATATAACATTTTAATTACTGATTGTTAGAAGTGTTTGTATTTTTAGACACAAGGCCATTTTTATCAAATTAGTCTTTATGCTAAGCTCAGCTAACTCTCCTCTAGGTTCATATTTAACATACAGTTATAGAGGAGGTTAACATGTTTACTTGTCTGTACATAAGTAGCTAAACTGAATCCAGACCACTTTGTAATGGAAAGACTATTTTAGTGGCTACATACCCAGTGGTGTTGATTTCAGAGGTTGTTTATGTCTGCATCTGGGAAGCAGCTTCATTATGCAGATGATGTCATTTATGTGAGGACACCTTTAAACACAGTGTTGCTCAGGGTCAGAGTCACAGCACTTGTTAAAAGCTTACAGTGGCTCCTTAGTGCTTGGTCAGCTGCTGTGAATCAGTGCAGGCAATCTACTCAGAAAGTAGGAGTGTCCCAGTGCAAGCTGAGCTACTCTCTGGTGGATTTGGTGGGTTCCAGTTTCTTATGGTCATTTATGTTCCCCTCTTACACACAGTCTGGTGTGATCTAGCCTCCAGGAATGTTTGGACAAGTGATAAGATAAGTGGAGAATTTCAGTTTAGTGGTGCAAAATACAAAGAGAAAGAGGGGTCCACTGGCAGAAGAGAATGTTTTTAACCAAATGATGAACAGAAGAAACAGCTCTACCCATAATGTGCTTTGTGTCAATGTCAGTCGGTCCACTTTGGTCCAGACTGGAATATCTCAATATTTATTTGGTGGATTACCTTGAAATTTGATACAGACATTGACGGTCCTCTCCAGTTGAATCCTACTGGCTTTGATGATCCTTGGACCTTTCATCTAGCATCACCAGAAGGTCAAATGTTTCACTTATACTGTGAAATATCTCAACATCTACTTCTCAAACGATCTAGTCTAATAACTCCGGTGTTCCTCTGGCTTTTCCTTTAGTGCCACTTCCAGATTAACATTTGTAGATTTGATATAAACCATTAACTTCTTCATTAGCCTCAGTTGTACTTTCTGTTTAGTGCTGTTTAGCACCATGCTAAACTAAGACAGTCATCGAGGAAACAAACACATTTTATAGTGCTTAGCTTAGGTTTGTGTCTAAGTACAGCATCACACAGTTTGTAGACTCATAGTCTTGTTCCTTAATGCCATAAGAGGAAGTAGGGCCGAGTGAAATATGGCACAAAGGCTGTCATGTCAAACTGTCTTCTGGAATATAACTGAATGCAACTAACAAAACATTAAAATTTCAGAAAAATCCACTTCTGACCATTTATGTCAATAACGAGGTCACCATTTTTATAGTAGCATATAAAGTGATATATGAAAAAAATCATTATTGAACAGCAGTTCTTCTGATCAGCTGATCTCTGTTTGATTGACAGCATTAACAAGACCTGTCTGCCCCAGTTTGGCTACAAACACGTTCTATCTCTGACGGAGGAAGTGGGACGCTTCACGGAGGAAGTGAAGAAGCAGATAGTGTCCAGGAACCGAGATTCCCCAGAGGGAGGCTTTGATGCCATCATCCAGGCTGCTGTGTGCAAGGTGGAGAGGCAGAGTGCATGTGCATACACACCTGTTGTCCCATAACTCATTACTTTTTTTGTCACACACATACACACCCATAAACATTAAATAACTGATTTTTTTTTTCTATTGATGAAGGTGTCCACCAAACTGGAAATGTGTTTTTGAAGATTTCAATGACTAGTAACAGTTTTGTTTTTTTGACATGGTTTGATCGAGACTAGGATCGGATCGGTTGGCGCCCAGGTGCCTCTCACCTTCTGATCTTTACGTCTGATGCTAAGACGCACCTGGCTCTTGACGGTCGCCTGGCAGGAATCGTGCAGCCCAACGATGGGCAGTGCCACCTCAACTCTGACAACATTTACAGCATGTCTACCACCATGGTTTGTGTGTACTGCTGTGTGTTTGGTATGCAGACAGTAGAGAGGCAGCATGAGGGAGAAACAGAGAGAATGAAATACTTAAAATATGTCACTGTAAAAGTATGAAAAGGAACAGTTCATTGTTTCTGTGTGCATGTGCTAACCACGCTGTCCTGTTTGCCCCCACAGGATTACCCATCTCTTGCTCTGATCACAGAGAAGATGTCAGAGAACAACATCAACCTCATCTTTGCTGTAAACGAATCTGTGGTTCCTCTGTACCAGGTAGGGAACTCTGCAGGTGGCGCTGAGCATGCGCAGTATTTTGTTCTGTCCAAGTTCAGATCAAGACTTAGACATAGTGAATATGCAGGGACCAATTCTAAAAAAAGCAAAACATATAAATGAATGTTTTTAAACTGAAGCTGAGAAGATGACAGACTGTAATCATCTTGTCTTGAATACACTCTAGTGTTTTAGGTAAGCCCCGCAAACCTCACTGGCTTTAATCAGAGATTCTTGGATCCTGCACTGGAAGAATGGAAATCCACAAATAATCACTACTAAACACTGTTCAGACACGGCAAAATACAAACTCACTTTTGCCCAAATTGCAAACACTGTTGCAACTAAAGGGTCTATTCACAGGAATTGCAGACAATTAGAGAAGTGAGTATCATTGTGTGTGTTATGGAAGTCGAGGATTAAAGAACTCTGGGTACACACGAATTAGGGCATCATGTTATCATCAAAAATGGAAATATATGGACATTTATTCATCATGTAAGGTGAATTTGACATTTTCGACCCATTTGGAGGAGTGTAATAGCTAATTTTCACATGGTTTACAATATTTATTAGGTCTTAAAGGGTGTATTATATACAGTATATTAGCACTCCTGCGTTTCTGTCACATAACGCACCACTTCTCCCAGAAAACTGTTGCAATCACAAATTCTTTGGTATTGTCCATTTTAACTGGTTGCAAGTGTGATTTCTATGTTGCCAGTATCTGTAGACTGCTACAGGTGAGTTTCATTAGAAATTAAAGAAGCACCATATGCTTGAAATACAACTATTTCTGATGATTTTGTGTTGTTCCAATGCAAACGAAAGAAATAAAGATGACAATACCAAAGAATTTCTGAGTGCACAAGTGGTGCATTATCTGACAGAAATGCAGGTGTGCCATTATTTTTGGCCATGACTGTATTTATAACTGACGATACATCAATGAATATAATATTTTCTCTGACTGTGTAGAATGACAACAATCCTACAGTTTGTCTCTTTGTCTTGTAGAAGTACAGTGAACTGATTCCTGGCACAGCAGTAGGAACACTGTCTATTGACTCAAGCAACATTATCGAGCTCATATCGAAGGCCTATGCTGTAAGTGTTACACACACACACACACACACACACACACACACACACACACCCTTGGCTGAGGGGATGACTTGTGTCTGTTGATGCACACACCCACAGTGTCTGAGTCATGCACACTCAAGCCAGTGTCTTAGCAGAAATTCCACCATGGCCAAAGTGTGAAGCTCACCCAATGTAGGAGACGTCTGGCTGTGTTTCAGTGTTTATGTTCTGTTTGGGTTTGTTATGCAAGTGAAAGCGAAAATGCTGAAAACTGATTTTAGCCTGAATCCTGGCTGTAACTTTGTCATGTTTGTCCAGGAGCACATACAGGCGTGTGGGCTAAAGTGTGGACTTTTGTCTCTACACCCCAAAAAACAAAACACCTAGGCCTACATGGGTAGGTGGCTGTGGCTCATGAGGTAGGGCAGTCGTCTCCTGACCAGCAAGTTGGTGGTTCGACTCCCGGTCTCCCCGCATGCCTAAGTGTCCCTGAGCAAGACACTGAACCCCGAATTGCTCCTGGTGGCTTGACTAGCGCCGGTGCATGGCAGCTTGTCGTCATCAGTGTGTGAATGTTGTGTGTGAATGGGTGAATGGTGTATCATCTCTGTAAAGCGCTTTGGCCAGTGCAACACACTGTGAGAAAGCGCTATATAAAATACAGTCCATTTACCATTTACCATTTACATGTAATTGGAAAGGAAAAAAGATCTTCTTATAATAATAACATTATAATTTATTGATATTAGGTTTTAACCAACTTTTTTTTTTACCTGTAATAAGCTAAATTTAAACCTAGGATGTGATTTTTTTTTTCCTACTGTTCTTCTTTGTCTGTGTTTTCAGAAAATCCGTTCCAAGGTGGAGCTGGAGCTTCAAGGTGTCCCAGAGGAGCTGTCCCTGTCTTTTAATGCCACCTGTCTGAACGGAGAGCTCATCCCTGGCCTTAAATCCTGCTCTGGGCTCAAAATAGGAGACACGGTCAGTCACCGAAAATAGTCGGAATGATCTGTATTTACTACTGTCTTTTTGTTTTTGTAAACTTCTTCCCATTTATATCTTGGTAATTATTTTTGTCAGACTAAGGAGGTACATTAGCAAAAGGTTTCCTCTCAACAAGATGATTCATATTCAGCTTTCAAAAACAGGTTTTTATAAGAAACAAATCTTCACAGGTCATCTTCTTTGTTAGGGATGTATCAGTTAGAAATGATTTACATGTGGTGTAACAAGACTAGTAAGCCCATTGATACAAAAGTTAAATAAAAAATTAAACTTTACTGTATAAATTTCACTAGAAACAATTACATGGGCTACTGTATTAACACAGTACGGTGATAGTTTTCTATCAGCCAAGAGACTAGTGGCTTAATCATGTCTTCATTGCAAAAATAACATGTTACTTACTTCCATGTACTATTTTTCATCTTCTTTTCTGTCTTTTTCCATTTCCTGTCTTGCTTCTATTGACATGCTTTTAAAGTTGGATTTTCCCCTTTACAAAAAATGGAAATAGTGGATCAGAACTGTCTCTCTCAGTTAGTGTCTTCATGTCTTTCCATCCCTCTGCTGCCAACTCTACTTGGAGAAATTGGCTGCTTATATAGTTCTCTCCATCCGTCTTTTGCATTTTTTATTTATCACAGCCTTTTTTGGCTCTTTCCTTTGTTTTCTTCTCACTCCAGGTGACATTTTTTAACCTCCACACATTTCTTTCTCTCTCTGCATGAGCTCCTTTTATTTTTTCCATATATGGCTGTCTCTCCAGATGTAGTAACTTCCCATTCTTGGACATTTACCAGATTTGGATGTAATGCTGAATGAATCAATTACATTAACCAAGTACATATGGAGACATTCACATCACTGTGCTCTTTCTGCTGACAGTAATTAGATAATGAATGAAATTTACCAAACATGAACATTAAATGAACCATTAAAGTGCTGGTTCATGTGAAGTAATCCGTGCCATAGGGATATAGAAGCATGACTGGCTTTACAAAGTGTGTCTGTGTATGAGAGTACAGTATATGTGAGTGTAAACATGTGAACCACATACTTTCATCCCAGATATGACTTGTTACACTTTCATTTCCCTCCTCTCATTCAGGTCTCTTTCAGTGTGGAGGCCCGAGCTCGGGGTTGCCCCAAACAAAAGAGGAAAACCTTCATCATTAAGCCTGTGGGCTTCAAGGACTCCCTCTCCATCACTGTCACCTTTGAGTGTGACTGCAAGTGCCAGACCAAAGCCCAGACCGATAGCCCAAAGTGTAACCATGGCAACGGTACCTTCGAGTGTGGCATCTGCCTGTGCCATCCGGGTCGCTTAGGACCTCACTGTGAGTGTGCAGAGGGTGACTATAGACCCACAGAGCAGGACCGCTGCAGTGGACCCACAGGCTCTGGGGGGCCCCAGTCTGCCATCTGCAGCGACCGCGGAGACTGTCTGTGTGGCCAGTGTGTGTGCCATAGCAGAGACCTTGGAAAAGTGTGGGGCAAGCTGTGCGAGTGTGATGACTTCAACTGCTTGCGCTACAAAGGGGAGCTGTGCTCAGGTAAGATTGTATGAGTTAAAGTGAAAAAGATGTTTACATTGTTGTTCTTGTGTGTTTGACTGGCAGCATTTTAAGTTCAGTGAGCAGGGTTGAAACAATAAGATGATTAGATTTGTCAGCTGACTGAAATTTAATTGGCCACTATAAAAAATTTCCTTGACTCAAAGGTGACATCTTCAAATGGTTTGTTTTGTCTGATCAACTGTCTAAAATCTGAAGACATTAAATTTGCAAGACACAGAACAGAGAAAACACAAAGGAGAAGTTGGAACGTTGATACAATGACATGTATGATATATAGATGGCTGAGGTTAAAATGGCCCACAATCTTATTGTGGTAAAGTTTCAGTTTCAGTCAGGGCTGGCAGTCTCCTTCACCACACTGACTTGCCTCCCCTTCATCTGGGAAGAATTACATACAATAACAACACTCCCTTCTGCCCAGGATATGGGCTCCATTCACAATAAACATATGGTGTGGTGTGTTTGCATTATGAGTGCGTGAGCTCAGGTTGTATGTGTGTGTAGGCTAGGCCAAGCTTTTTTGCCACAGAGTTCAACATGATTCATGCACAAAGAAAGCTTTTTTCAAGTTCAGCGGTAGAGACACTATGTCACAATCAAGTCAAAACACATGTTGCTACCTGGAGGACATGTATATCTAATCAGGAGTTTTTCAATCTAGGGTTTGCTGCTTAGGCATTAGACCATGTATAGCCATGCTGTCAGGTTTCTTCTAAAAGGAGTCTGATTTAATTGTTTTTTTGCCTTGAGCTTCATCACATTGTTAGATCTACATCATACTCATATTCACCCCCCTCCCCAAAAAAAACCAACAGCACCCACCCTTGCACCAACCCCTGCTGCTCTTACATTTTGTTGTATCCCCCAAAGACCATAGATGACCATGAAAATACCTTTCTGCTTACTAAATGAATGGTTTGATGTAATAAGGCTAAAAATAAACCCATGTTTGGTCAAGAAAGGGCCATGTGGGAGAAGACTGGGAATGTTGTGTGAGAAAAACATGGTCTGCTGTTGTTATGAAATACCTTACTTTGTGCAGGAATCGTTCTTCCTCCCCCTCAGAATCTAACTGAAGGCCAGTGGCCCTGTGGTCAAGTGTAATGACAGTGTGTTCATGGATCATCTTTTACCCATTCAGAGCAATCCAAGCAGCTTCCCGTCTCATTGTTTATCTGGACAATGTTTTGCAGTGATAGGCCACAGTGTTTTCTGTATTGTCATTCTCTTATTGGCATGCACACCCCTTACTTTACACTGTACACTTTACTGTACACACATAGATAACAAGGAATAACAGCAGATGAGTGTTCACAAGTTCACTCAAACAAGCACCGAGTCACACAGCCAAAAATAAACATCATCCAAACACCACAGATACACAATGACATGCACGGACTGTTTACTCAACTCATCAAATTCAGTTGTTTAGAAATGTTCTAAACTTATTTGCATGTAATTTTTGCAGCTTACATAATGGAAGTTGTTTCAGGAAGATGTTCTCTCAACAGAATTAGGATTAGGATATATAGAAAAGCTGTAATGAAGAACAAAAACCAAGATTTTCAAGTGGTTACAGCAGATAGAGAAATTAGCACTAGCTATAGAATCAACATACCCACTTTTAGGAAAAATACAGCAGATTAACAGTCAAAATTGGATAAAGTCAAATGCTGAAAGGAATTTTTGCCTTAAATTTAAACTTTTCCCGGCTTTTCTGTTTTTACAATGTAACTGTAGGTCTCCAGCAGTTGCAGAATCACGACTTACTAATACAGACTTACAAAACCACTAAATACCTTAGCAAAAAGTAAATTTCACTTTTCACTACTGAGAATTTTCCTTTGTAACTTTTGGAATGGCATGGCTGGAAACACATTGTTACAGGTGGATTAAAACATGGCACCACTACATGCCAGCTGATTTTGGACAAGACCAACATCACCTTTTGAGTATTAAAGCTGGGTATTCCTTAAACTAGGAGGAAACAGTGAAATATGGGGGAGTATGACTAAGGGTTCTGGTAAATGCACTCATAACCTCTTAACACGTAGTGGTCAGTCATTTCAATGCCATACTGACTGTGCAAAAGTTGTTTAAACCCACAGAACTTTATTAAACATTCTAGTGGAGTTCCAAAAATTTCCCAAGACACTCCATGTTTTAGTCAGAATTTTGGAGAAATACACATAAAATTATACATAATACTTCTATTTCATAAAATGATGAAGCTATAAACACATGAAGATTTGGAATTACCATACATTTCATTTTATAAAAACATCATAGCTTTAATGAAGGCTTTGAGCAGGCTGATACTGAATACATCAATCTCACACTATTTAAAACAATCATGCACAATAACTGAATCTACAGTCATGTCGACCACTAAGCAGTCCCACCTTTTTCCACCCTCTTGTCCAACTCCCACCACACCCTTATTTTCACGCAGACTTTCACTTGGTCATATTGTCCTGATTTTTTGTTTATGTCCTACCTCTTCTTCTTCCTTCATCTGTTTGTGTAAAGTCATACAAACAACAGCATGAGTGTAGCTTTGTCAGAGAATTCATTAACCTCCTCAACCCCACTGACATTTTGTTGGGTTTATTACCACATACTGGCGTTGTGTAAGCCTTTGCTTTTCAAACCTGCACAACCTGATCTTAAATTTAAATCCCAAGTTGCAGTAATAAATATATCATTATGAACAATGCCATACCAAATATCAATAACAGAACATTTAGGAGTGAATGCTGGGAACATAAATATTTAAATTGTAATTGGATGTGATTTTACCTCTCTGTTTCTCTTTTTTAATCCCTCTCCTTTCTTCCCTCACAGGCCATGGTGTCTGTAACTGTGGTTCCTGCCAGTGTGCACCGGACTGGGAGGGTGAGAACTGTAACTGCTCCAGACGTACTGACACCTGTATGTCACACCTGGGCTTGCTGTGCAGTGGGAGGGGTCAGTGTGTGTGTGGGGCCTGTGAGTGCACCCAGCCTGGTGCCTACGGGACCACGTGTGACAAGTGCCCCACCTGCCCTGGTGCCTGTACCATGAAGAAGTGAGTGGATATTCGGATCATCTTGCACAAACAGTTGTCATGTTTGGTGTCCAAAATGTTACTTGAAATGAGATGGTGAGCTGGTTTATGTTTTTATTCTTTAAGGGAATGTGTGGAGTGTAAGCACTTCAAGAGGGGCAAGCTGTTTGAGGACAACACCTGCTTTCGAATCTGCAAGGACGAGATTGAACTTGTAGATGAATTAGGTGAGACCCACAGCTGACCAGACTCCAGCCTTTTCCAGCCAAAAGTACACTTTAAACCAGGGGTGGACAACTGTGGTCAAGGATACTCTTTACAAATGGTTAACTAATAGCATTTTAATGGCTACACAATCACTTACTAATGCTTCATAGATTCACAAGAGGTCAAAGCCACCATGTCTGCATAAATGGTGGTAAATCATTAATTATAGTCCTGTTTTTTCTTTTCATGGATCTTTGGTAAAGCCATCAGTTACAGCTTCGAAATCGTTTATAAAGAGCGTCTGTTGGAAAGTGAATGGTTATTATCCAAAAAAATGCCTTTTAAATGATAATGTGAATGGTAGGTGTACTGCAAAGTGTTTAAAAGGTTTAACAAAGATGATTTATAGACATCAAGGTAGGCTTTTATACAGTTACAGTGCAAAGGGTCAAAAGGCTTTTTAAAGTCTCCATTGCTCCAAAAACAGAAAAAGAGAAACGTCTTGACTGATGAACCATTTTCTATTTTTGTTTTTGTGCAGTACTCAACGACACAAATGCTGTGAACTGCACTTACAAAGATGAAGATGATTGCGTGGAGCATTTCCAATACGATAAGGATGCCAGTGGCAAGTTGATCTTGTTTCTCATCAAAGAGCCAGGTAAGTGAGGCCCATTCTAAGTGGACACCTGACCTAACAAACAAGTATTTTTGATTATAATAAAGGATCAGATTATTACTTCTAATGTCAGTCATCCACTCTGCAGTTCCTTTTATCTCTACAGCTCATTGTTTTTGTTTCACGGTCCACAGCTTTACAATTTCATCCTCACTGGTCTCAACAAACTCATTACCACTGCCAAGAAAGTTATGTTTTTGGTTCTGTGTGTGTGTGTGTGTGTGTGTGTGTTGGTTAGCAGGATTACGGACAAATGGCCAGATGGATCATCACCATACTTGGTACAGACAAAAGTTAAATTTCAAGGTCACAAAAAATAATGAAAAAACCCCTCATACACACACAAAAATTCCCCATCTTTAACATGGGGCAAAATTTAAAAAAATATTGTCATCAAAAGTTATCAAAATCATTTTAATTTGAAATTTGACACAAACATTTAGGGCGGCAATGTCTATCACCAGACCAAATTTCATCTGGATCCGATCTGGATATTGGATCTGATCATAGCCATTTAAAGTTAACATTGAATGCATTTAATGCATATTTTCTGCCATAACGTGGCCTATAATGAAAATAAATCCTGAAATGTTCAGGTAAAATGCACAGTGTAACTGCCTATCATTCCTTAAAAAATGATCTGCATCCAATCTAGGTCAGGGATTTTATGACACATTTTGTGTTGTTCTGAATCTAATATTTCACAAGGGACCTGTTTGCATGAGTGAATGTTGTTTTCTTGGTGGAGGTACATGCGCTCTCTGAGTGCTCTTGTTTTTAGCTGCACCAGGCAGCTCTGTCCAGCAAAAGGTTCTGTTAAAAAACTACACTACTGGTCAAGAACCAAACAGCAAACAAACAAGGACTAAATATGGACAATAATATATGTGAAAGAGATGAAGGAAGACACAATGACAAAATGTTTATACTGAACTGATAACAAAATCTACCACCATTAATGCATCAATAACCTACAGTACCGTATATTCGTTCTAGCAAACTTCATTGCCTTGTGAAATCAGTGTGTTTTTCTTCACCTAGGTACAGGTTATCATTTTGCTGCTAACACTTCTTCTGCTTGATAAGTGGCCAAATAGAGAGTGTGGGTAGTAAAATAGCCTCTAAATACCACCAGTGCCCAAAGAGAAAGTCTGTCCCCGAGTCTGCTTTTAATGGACGTGTGTGTTTAATTTAAGCATAACTGGGTAGCAGGGAAGAAACCCAAAACTTGCCTTGAACATAGTACACCCTGTTGTGTCAAAGAAGGCCATAAACAGCTGCTCTGCCCCTCAAGGAAGCTGCTGACTCTGCATATCCTCAAGAAGAACAGTTAATAATGGGAAAAGTGACATGTTAATCCAATGTTGTGCTGTAAGGCTTCATGTTAATGACCATGTTGTCTTCATTACTCAAAAAATGTAATATATTACTTGTTACTCTTTTCAAAAATTTATGTTATTACTTTACTTATTAATCCTTGTCAAAAAATAACTAGTTACACCACTTGTAATATTACTTTCCCATTACACCCCACAGATTGGTAATATCTTGTGTGAGGTTACTATTTTCCACTTGAAACCATCTTCCTGTCTGTGACTTAAAACTCCCATTACCTTTTGTTAAACACTGTTATGCTTCACAGATTGTAATTCACATGCTAGAAGGAACCACACTATCTGGTTACGTGCCATGTGTATTAGTACTGTTCTCTGTATTTCAGTGGTACTTTCCTGAATCTGAAAAGTCATAACATTTAGTAGAGGAGTGAGTTGCAGCAAAAGCAGCAGCATCTATGTGAGTGAAGGATGAGACAGGGCGGAAGCTGTGTTATAAAATCAGACTTCCTCTGGCCTGACTTCTGGCTTATCTCCTCCTACAGTATGTGTCCATGTTACTCCACTATCTCTTCCATTCAGACTGCCCCAAGGGTCCAGACATTTTGGTGGTGCTTCTGTCAGTGGCAGGAGCCATCTTGTTCCTTGGCCTGGTGGCTCTGCTTATCTGGAAGCTGCTGGTCACCATCCACGACAGACGGGAGTTCGCCAAATTTGAAGAAGAACGTGCTCGTGCAAAGTGGGACACGGTCAGTAAATATAGTATCAGGGTGACATGGGTGGAACATACTCTGAAATAGTGTACACGGAAACCACCAATGTTGCACTGGCATTAATTTTAAGCACACAAATATGCCTACATCTTCATATACACACACAAACTACCACACACAATGTCTCTTGCTCTCTTTTTCTGAATATGTTTTCTTATTATTAGTGTGGCATGCTGTTACTCCGAGCAGAACAAAAGCCAGCCAATGGAAGGGTTGGCTTAAATTAGCTCATGCTAATTAACATTTACTGGTGATAAGCCTCTTTATGGGCTTAATAACACACCTAAATCCTGGTGGCCTGAAACCACAATCACAGTAGTTTTAAGGTGCTTGGTGAGTAACAGAAGTGAAAACATAACCCACATATCCAAGGTAATATATGCATCTGAGTAGAGTCCAGGAAAGGATGGTTGACATGAGGGGAGGCAACAGTGCGGTGGGTATAGCAGTCGTCTCCCAACCGAAAGGTTGAAGGTTCAAATCTCAACATGTCAAAGTGTACTTGGGTGAGACACTAAATATATTTGTAACTCACTTTCTATTAGTAGCAACAGAATTAAACAGCTCATTTCAAATTCATTCATATCTCACACAAGTCAGAATGCACAGGTTTGCTATGAGAAAATCTTCCAGTATCTGAGGTGTGAGGCAGCAAAGCAATTTGACACATCTTTTCTCAAAGTGGGAGGTCACTAACGTCACACAATTTTTACTAGATACTGAAATTCTCTTGTATTAAATTCTATGCCAAATCAAAATATGTCAGCAAAAAAGTTATTATGATTACTTATTTGGCAAAAATAAATAAAATAAAATAAATGTGTTGGAAAGCCAAGACTGCTCCAACTTTTAATTTAACTCTGGATCAGATTTGTGACATTCCTTCTCTGTTGGAAAACAAAAACTGTGGACATACTTTATATGACTTTTGATAGCCTTTTATTTTGTATTTGGAAAATGCATGAAAGAGTAAGCGCTATTTCTTTCTTTTCCTTTTTCCTGTGTATTTCATAAACAGGGGCACAATCCTCTCTACAAAGGAGCCACCTCTACCTTCACAAATATCACGTACAGAGGAAAAGACTGATGCTACTGAACCAGAATGAGGATGGTCTTTTGTGTTCTTTTTGGGGTGAAGGCACAAAGTCATGTGCAGACCTCTTCTGTTACAAGACAATAATTATAGATTATTTGTGTTTGTAAATATGTAGAAATGATTCTGAGGACACATTGTATCAGGGATTTGAAATATGTGTTGCTAATGGCTTGTTATTACTAAAATATGTTGTGGATATTACATTTCATTCATTCTTTCTTTATGCCATATGTATAATAAGAAATTTGATTACAAATTAACAATAGTTTGGAATATTATAATTTTTGATGTAGTTATTTTGATGAGTTCATGTGAAACAATTCTAAATCAGTGATGATTGTTTTTTGTTTTAAATGTTGAAAACTGTCTTGATAATGTGAGACTGAGCAACCTGAAACTCAGTTTCTCCAAGAAACACACCAAGACAATCATTGTGGTTTCCTGCAATACACTGTGGTTACAGTGAGTCTCATCAAACTTTGGCAGTATTTTTATTAGTGTCTATTTTGCAGTCTGCTAGTGATTTGTTAAACAGTAGGCAGATGCAGGATTGCATCACTCAACATGAGCTAATACATACATGAGCAGCAATATGCGGGTGTAATAGCAGCAAGGGTTTAAAAATAATTTGTCAATTTAATTATTCCAAACTACAGGGTATATCCTGACAGATAATGACTACTGTTAGATACAGTATGTGATTAATGCGCAGCCCAGGACTCATGCAATGTTCTGCTTCCACCTCCTGGACTTAAACTGCAATAGAGCCTAATGATCCTTGTGCAAAGCATGGTTCATCCTACACACTGTCAAATAAACTAGATGAACTATCAGATGAATTATGCATGGGGCAGTGTACTTACCATTTATGTCCAGGAGGTCGATCCAGTGCATTGCAGACAAAAACTATACGCACTCAAAGTAAAATGTGCACAGGGCCTCTTTAGAAAATGCACTTGTGGTTTCTCTTGCTCACAGGAAGTTAAAACAACAACTCCACATAAACTTGTAGATCATAAGCACATTTGTAGACTACTGTCCCTGTCACATTCAGTGATGTGAATGACATGATTGATGAAAATGGCAAGTTATCTAATGAATTTTGTGCATTAAAAATTGCAGTTAATGGGAATTTCAATCTGTAATTGACAAATTGTATACTGAAACAAGAGGCAAAACTCAGCATGCATAGCCTACATACAATGTGTTTGTGATTTTGGACAAGATGATAGGATGGGGCAGTTTGTACATTTGAATGAGAACTCCTGAAAATGGAACAAAGGCCCAGACTCCTACCCTGGGGGGGGCCAACGTGACCTCAAGTCTTCTGTGTGTCACTTTGTGGTAATTTGATGAACAGCAACTTAATTCAGGAATATGCACCATGAAGGCACAATATCACACAATTGCAAAACTAAACTAATTAAATAATGTTGTGTGTCTGTCATACAGGGCCACAAAACTATGAATTGTTGAAAGAAAATAATGAAATATGTCAAATTACCAAAACAGCTTTATCGGGTAAATTAGTAATCCAGCCTTTCCTGTCGAGTATCGGGTTGTTCTGACCTGAGGATCTTACATTATCTAGTGAAGTAGTTCATGGGAAGCATCACATAAAGCTATCCCCGGAGCCCTCTGTGGCCTTGCAGCAGGGGGTTATGATCTTTTATTAACAATTAAAGAATGGACTGAAACAAGGTGGCTGAACTTCTAATGGAGTAAACGTTACATCGCATGATAATGACAAAAGAAAGCCCGAGTGAAGCAGAGATGTGACAACACTTGTCAAGAGGCTTTAAAGCTCCAGGTTTGCCCGTGCAGAGGCATCAAGACGGGCGAGGAAACCCCGAGGATCAGGGCCTCCTGTCCGGATGACACGAGCAAGAGCCAGCCACAATGCTCTCCTTAGCTAGCATTAGCTAAGCTAGCACATGTCTTCCCTAAAGACGAAATAAATCTAAATGGATAACTTAATTCGCACAACTTTATCTGAGGCGTGTAGGATCTGGAGTTGTTAAGGAGCTTGCAGTCAACGGATGGACGGACAACAGTCTTTTTAGGACAGAGTGCAAACTGCAGGGTTCTCCAGGTGAGACTTCTATTGCAGCTAACGCTAACGTTAGCATGCTTGCCAGACAACTTAGCCATAGCTAGTTTAGGCAGCGCTAATTTACTAAGCATCTTTAGCACTTTTAGTAACTTGTCATCAGTAACAACTATATCTGCCATCAATCTTGGTTAAGCTTTCGCTGTTTACTGATAAATAATAAATTGACAGAACATGGCAGCGTTTTGAATTTCTTTATTGAAATGTTAGCTATATTAGCATAACTTTACTAGCATTTGCAAATGTTCGCTAACTAGCTGGCTAGAGTTAGCCGAGTTCTTCATTTGTCAACATCCACTCGTCAGATAAGTTAATAACGGCATCATAAAGGTTATTTCACCAACTGTTATGCATTCAGTTTACCTGAAACATCGGTTAACATAAGCATCTTTGTCATAAAATTTGAGATTAAACTACATATTTCCTTTATGTAACATCCCCTGGCCAGCATTTGTTTTGATGTAACCTAAAAGTTAATAGACTTGGGGGAAAATTAACTATCTTAATCAACATTTGCCTGAGCAAAACGGTGATGTTTATTATTAACTGGTTCATTTTTTGTTTCTGAGCAATATTGTCATCACCACAAAACATCTTGTATTTACCCCAAGATGAATTCATCACAAACTTGATGGATTTACAGTTTGTATGTTTATCTTAATCGCACTGAATATTTATTTCCTTTTTTTCTCAGAATTCAGTACCTTGGCCCGTTTTGTAGTGCTGGTCCAGTTAACTAACCATAAACTACAACTGTAAGCATAACTTAAAAATCCAAGTGGATGTCCATCTTTCCTGTCCACACCCGTTATTTGAAGAGGCAGTCCAGGAGATTTTAATAAACATTTTCCTGTTAGCTTTCTTTGACAGAATCAAATTGTAATTTGGAATTTCAGTTAGTTGGACTTTGCTCCCTACTTTTTTATGAGTATCGGTCTTCTATTAACTAGTGCACATAAGTTACCAGTTCATTCACTTTTTGCATCTCTCCTTCTAGGCATGATGGAAGGACTTCATAGCCAGGCTATAAGCCTGGACCCACGCAGGCAAGAGCTGCTTGAGGCCCGCTTCACTGGAGTTGGTGTGGCCAAGGTTGGCATCTCTTTAATAGCATGACAGATGCTTGTTACTCAAGATGATTAGTGATTGTAAGCACAGACTGTTTATGCAGATGTTGCACTTCACAAATGATGTGATGAGTTTATTTCACTGTGCTTTTATGTTGGGAAATTTACTTTGGAAAACTACTAAGGGCTCCTTTTTATTCATGCTGAAATGAATTTGGAGGTACAAAAGAGTAGCTCCCAGTTTTACTGCAGGTGAGCATGCAGCAGCCTCACTGGTGCTGTGTGTGAGTGAATCAGCAGTTGGTCATCTGTCTAATGTTAGTTCCTCAGTTTAGAATAACTTCGGAGTCCTCTCTAACTCCAGTTTGACTGATGCTTCCCTCAGTGGAACGATCCTGTCTTCCTGAGCTAAAGCTAAAACAACACCAGCTCTGTCTTAGCTGACATGGGATCTGGCCAGCTCCTCTTTGTTCCATTATAGATGAGTGACACTGAAATGGCACTGCAGCTGAAGCTCACAGCAGAGGCTACGTGCTATGCTGCAACCCTGCTGTTGTTGAGCTGGGTGTTACTGTGTGGGGGTGTACATTTGAGAAAATGGCATTTGCTATCATTCTTGCTCTGGCCCATAGCGGGCTATGTAATGAATTGTTATGCTTGCTCGCTGTGGTATTAGAGTGCAGATTATTTAAGGCTGAAAGTATGTTGACTACAGTGACTGTTGTATTAAGATTCATTTCAAGACATTGCAATGAGGAGGTTTAGTGTACATGTCCAGGGGAAATGAGAATATCTTGGTTGTATATGTGACCTTGAGCAGCAGAGGGACAGCGGGCCTTAAAACTGAACTTCCTGCACCAGTGTTGTGCTGTTTCTTCTTAGTCTCATCCGGCTGTGCAGCTGGCCATGAATAGTGTGAATGACACCAACTGATTCAACCATCTGCACATAAAGTGAAGATTCGCTGATTAACATATGATATCCCGACTGTGGTGTTGTACCAATACCCAAGCTATCTGGTTATACTTTATAAACTGCACTGCCACAAAAGTGGGTAATATTAAACCTGAGTCCCAAATATTATCATTTGTCAGATAGAAAAGATGTGTGGACATTTGCACTTTAATGTGTAAGTTTACGTGCACAGATATTGACAGATTTTGATGGAAATGAGTGCCCAGTTCACATTTTAGAATAGAGCAGAATCTGGCATTTTTAAATAGGAACTGTCATCTAAACATCTTATATCTCTAACTTCCAGGTCTACTCACAAGTTGTTTGCAGAAATAGTACATGACTAATAAATCATGCCTATCGACACTGTTCTGTTTTCCAGAGCTCAGCTAACAGCGAATCGTCCAACCAATCGCTGTGCAGTGCAGGATCACTCAGTGACAAGGAACTTGAGGTTGGTTGGGGATAAAAATCAAAATGGCAAGTGACTGTGCTCTCACCATCAGATCCTATGACAATGTCTGCAACTCCTGACTTTGTCATATCCCTAATGATTGCCTGCGAGTGGTCAACTATTTTTGGTACAGTGGTGCATGCAAGCACTTGGGTACAGTGTATGTTTTTCACCTATCCACCTGTTTTCTGTTTATACTTAAGGTGGTGCATACGTTTGATAAAAGGCAGGAAAGCACCTTGAGCTGGGCACTAGTCTCTTAAAGATTAAATTAAAAATGTATGCGGGAAAAGGTTTACAAACACCTAGTAGCAGTAAACACTTGGGGGTATTTCAGTTTACTGTGGGTGCTTGTCTCAGATTCATCATGGGTTTGAAGTGGCTGGAGGACGCCCACACAAACATGCAAGCTCTTCACAGACAGAACAGTGACCCATATTTAAGCTGTGAACAAATCAAAAAGCCAACATGCCACCCTGTGAAAAATGAGCTTAGCATAGTTTATCATTTATCAATTCAGCATGGTTCACTAAATACTGAACAAGGAAAAGAAACTGTTGTTCGTTTTATTTCATTTTAATCAGAAGTTTCTTTGGGCAGTTCCATAACTTAAAGAAACAATGCTTCATTTTGTCTGTTACATTTCATTGACATTTTTGTTCATGTGGTTGGTGGAGTAAACTAAATGGAGTAAAATTTAAATTTAAGCTCTACTGCTTTTCTGCTTGTATCAGACACCAGAGAAGAAGGCCAGTGACCAGAGAAGCAGGAAGAGAAAAGGAGATAGTTATGACAGCAACAGCCAGGGTAAGTTTCACCTACTTATTGAATCAGATTCAGCTCCCTATAGTCATGTGCTTCAGTTTCATCACTGCTTTCCTCATTGCTCAAAGTTGCTTTTTGTGGTTTGCCATGCTTCTATATATCTGTAACTGATATATAGGCTTAGGGAGTTGATCTAGGATCAAACGATTACATTTTCCTACCTATACCCGTCCTGTTTCTTTCTTTCTATTTTGTAGGAAAAGGAAGAGGACATAAAACAAGTGATTATTTTGAGGTGAGTCGAAACTAATGGGACATCACGTGACTTCATCCTTTTGAATGCATTTAGCCTTTTAGTCACTGTGTTGTGCTTGGTTTCAAATCAGTTTCAGGCTGTAGTTTAATGTCTCATCCCTATGTTCCCACTGTGCCAGTATAGTTCTTCATCAAAAAATTTTCTAAATGAAAAGTCTTCTTTCTCTTTGTCCTGTTTTCCTGTTTCCACACTGTGTCACCTGCACTGTGGCCAGTTTGCTGGTAGCATTAGCTCTGGCACCAGTCCTGCCCAGAGCATCCCCATGCTGGTGCGCTCCTCTCTACAGCATTCACTATCTAGTCCTCTGGTGAGCACCAGCATCCATCTCCAGAGTGCTCTCCTGTGCTGCCTCTCTCTTTGATGCTTATTTACCAACTATTTAGATTTAGTTTAATTATTTTAACAAAATAAAATCCAGCTCAAGGCTAAACAAACACGTTTAGTTTGTCTGGGTTAGTTCAGCTAGTGGAAGTTACAAAACATTCCTTTGCATATTGAGTTTTTAAGGTTTAGTTTCTAAAATATGTTCCTTTTACTTTGACTTTAATGGAAAAGGAAACTGAAAGTGTGAGGTAGTTATACTGTTCACAAACCAGCTGATTATCTGTTGACTGGAAAGATCACATCTAGGATTGAAACTGTAGCTGTTGTTGATGTTTTTAAGTGAGGGTGTTGTCATGTTTCCAGATGTGACAGCATTTTATAATTACGGTACCTGTACTGTAGCTTTCCTCATCACTCAGGTGTCATAAAGAAGTGTCATACCATTTTGTTGTCCTGCAAACGTCCTGGAGATACTAACTTTTGTATGTGGTTTGAATTTATTAGTAAGGGACATTGAAAATAGTTTTGTGAATAGACTTAGCTAAAGAGTAATATAATTAAAATGTTATTCAAATTTATTGGATCTGACAATGTTTCATCAGTTCCTGTAAATATGTTTTCATGTACAACTTCATTTGTCCCCCTACATAATATTTCAGTGTTTGTTTCTTTTCTTTTTAATCTTTTCATTAATGCTGTCTGTATTATTATATTTCCCTTCACCCCATATTTCTTTCTACCATTCTCTTTTTCTGTTTCTCTTTCATTGCAGTTTCAACACAGCAGTCCCTCGTCCACAGGCTCAGCCCACACGGACTCTTCGTCGTGCAGCTCTGTTAAGACAGCCCCCACACACACCTGCTCACACAAAGCCATCCAGGTAACTGAGTGACTGAACATCATGGTTTTGTTTCAGTACATTTTAGAATTGCATCTGCCTCAGGTTTTAACTTTTGCTTCTTACAAGAAGTGATGATTTTGTCCTTCCAACAAAAGTGATCGTGCTTCATAAACTGCATCTGCTTTAGAAACCAAGGCATATTCTCAGACAGCATTAGGTGAGATTAGTCAAATGGTTTAGGGCTTGTGCACATTCACACCTTTTATTTGCTATTTAGTCCATTTAAAAATGGCACTACTCAGCCAAGATGTGGATGCTAAAATTAAAAGTCAAACTTTGAAAGCCCCTGTCGCCCACACTGCAGTTCATCTGACACAGAGCTTGCAACACATATTTAAATTATATTGGGTATCTTGATTAAAGGTAAATGTTTTGAATCCATATCTGTCATTTCTAAGACACCACCCATCTGATTTTGATGAATTTATAGTTATGCTTTGTTATATTAGACTGGCCTTAAGGATATCTTCATCATTTGTGCGGAACAAAATGTTTACTCTTAGCTTGTCATTGTCTTTGCCCTTTTTCCTCAGTCAGAACTGACACTGCTGAAACTGACAGCACTGGAGAAGAACAAGATCTCTGACCTGGAGAAGAAAGAGGGGAGGATAGACGACCTGCTGAGGGTAAAACAAGAAAATATTTCAAATCTGTTTCCAGGATCTGACAAATTGAACATAGAGTAGGGATGGGTAATAGAAGCAAGTTGTGATTTTCTTCCTGACAGACAACAGTTTGATATTTTAGTTGACTAGGCTGATTCACAAGTGTCCTTAATAATCACTTCACAGTCTTGACAAATATGCTGCCACTTGTCCCAGCAACTCGACATGAACAATGTGCTTGTTAACTTTGAAATGCCATTGTTGCTCAAATGACATTTGGTGTTACTGTCAGCAGACCAAACTGACACACTAGCAGTTGCTGCATTGTGTTATTTTAAGAACAAAAAAAAGCCTTATGTTGTTAAAAGGCTTTGAATGTCAGAGTGATGCTGTATGTTCTGGTAGGCTAACTGTGACTTGAGGAGGCAGGTAGATGAGCAGCAGAAGATGCTGGAACGTTATAAGGAACGGCTTAACAAGTGTGTGACCATGAGCAAGAAGCTGCTAATTGAGAAGGTGGGTATACATATACATTTACACAAGTACTGTATGTGTGCATACAGCTTAACTTGGCTTATTAGCACTAATGTTTACATTGTCTAAGCTAAGTTGCTTTTGAGTGTCCATTCACAATTTTTTTCTTTTTCTGTAGTCAAAGCAGGAAAAATTGGCTTGCAGGGACAAGAGCATGCAGGACCGTCTTCGTCTGGGCCATTTCACCACTGTACGCCACGGCGCCTCCTTCACTGAGCAGTGGACAGATGGATATGCCTTCCAGAACCTCATCAAGTCAGCAAGAAAATTGGCACAAATACGTTTGCATTTTGTCCATTCCCATGCAAGAATGCTCACACTAGATTGTTATTCTATAGGCAGCAAGAGCGAGTCAGTTTGCAGCGGGAGGACATAGAGAGGCAGAGGAAGCTGTTGGGGAAAAGAAAACCCCCCTCTATGGCTCAGCTACCCCTTCTCAGCCTGGAACAGAACAAACGAAAGAGCAGGAGCAACAGCCAGGAGAATGAAGTGTAAGTTCACAAACAACAGTTCAGTTACTTCATGCTGTAGTTGTTGTTTACATAGACCAGCCCAAAGTTTACACTAAGGCAGAAATTTATTAGTGTGGTATAGCTTGAATGTTATCATTTTCTCATCTTGGAGGCTGCACTGCAGTGGACTGTTAGGGTTTTCTGAACTTAATGTGTTTTCCCAGCTGTGTGGAAATGATCTGTTGTGGTATGAATTTCATAAGAAGGCTCACCACCTTGTTTTTATGTTTTTCATTCTATCTGAAGTTAGTGTAGTTTTTTTTGTCACAAGCTGACCTAGTTATGTAGCTATAAATTACAAACTGATACCACTTTATCCCACACAGGTTGTCATTGGCAGAATACCATGAGCAAGAGGAGATTTTCAAACTCAGAATTGGTCATTTGAAAAAGGTACCAACTCACCACTTACCACTTAAAGTATCTTTTCTTTGCTGTTGTTGTTTTTTTCCCTGGTACTTGTTACTACCCAATAACCTAGAGACATGTTTCTAATTCTACTTGTTCCTGTTTATCAAGAGTTGAGGTAGATGATGGATTTGTTTGGCTGTACACAGGAAGAGGCAGAGATCCAGACAGAGCTGGAGCGTTTGGAGCGAGTAAGAAACCTACACATTCGGGAGCTGAAGAGAATCCATAATGAGGACAACTCGCAGTAAGTGCCACCTCTGGTTAACCTGCCTTACACATGTTCTGTAGTGTGTGTTTAACTTACAAATTTGGTTTAGACAAAGCTAAAGGACTGAAGCAAGTCTTGTTTTATAGATTTAAAGACCACCCTACACTGAATGACCGATATCTGCTATTACATTTACTTGGAAGAGGTGGCTTCAGTGAAGTTTTTAAGGTAAGCGTGTGCCACTGTTTTGGTTTTTGTTGTTTATGAATATCAGTTTTATTTATTTATTTATTTAACTAATCAGATTCTTTTTGAGTAGGCGAGGGCACTTCACTTGTCATGGTGGTACTGTAGTGAGACTTCCCACACACCTGTATCCAAAAACATTCAGTGCAACTCCATGGTTATAGTAGACCTCTTTGTCTTTTCTTGTTTTCACATGCAATGTTCCTTTTCCAGGCTTTTGATTTGGCAGAGCAAAGGTACGTGGCCATTAAAATCCATCAACTCAACAAGAACTGGAGGGAGGAGAAGAAGGAAAACTATCACAAGTGAGTTTGAAACTTTTAGTCATTTGAAATGTTGTGATCTCAAACTGAATATTACATTGTGTAACTTAAAGCCTAAAATTTGTTTTTGAATGTTTTTATTTGTGGTGTTTTTTTAAAAAGTTACTAATTCACTTGTCCTTGCAGACACGCCTGTAGAGAGTATAGAATACACAAAGAACTTGACCACCCTAGAATAGTCAAACTCTATGACTACTTCTCGCTTGACACAGACTCGTAAGTGGCTCACTTTCTGTGAAGCTCAGGAAGGTGTGCTTATAGAAATCTAATAACTAAGTGCAAACATTAAATGTTTACCTTTTTTATATTGTTAAGAAGCAGCATCTCTTATCACGCTATAGACCTTGAAGTATAGAAAAGCATAGATGATCAGTGGTAACCTCTTCCCAAATAGCCTGTGGTTTTGTTCCTTGCAGGTTCTGCACAGTGCTCGAGTACTGTGAAGGCAACGATCTGGACTTTTACTTGAAGCAGAATAAGCTGATGACTGAGAAGGAGGGTCGGTCTATAGTTATGCAGATTGTCAACGCCCTCAAGTACCTCAACCAGATTCAGCCACCCATCATCCACTATGACCTCAAGCCTGGTAGTTTCAGAGGTTTTCATTTGTCCTCTTCCAACAGTCATATGTTTGTGACTTGATTTAACTTAAATGTTTCCTGTTCTGTCCTTAGGGAACATATTGTTAGTTAATGGCACTGCTTGTGGAGAGATTAAGATCACTGACTTTGGCTTGTCTAAGGTCATGGATGATAACAGCTACAACTCTGCAGATGGAATGGAGCTGACATCACAAGGAGCGGGGACCTACTGGTACATACAGACACATTTCACTGCATTTACTAAACAAGTAGCCAATATGGCTTCTCAGGTTGGTAGCAGAAGCACAGTCTTTGGAGGGAAATGCTGCTAATTGAATTCATATCTGCTGGTCATTTAGCAAAGGAGTACAGTGCTGAGAGAGCATACAGAGGAAAAGCTATGATGTTGACTGTGTTTGCAGGTACCTCCCTCCTGAGTGCTTTATGGTGGGTAAGGAGCCCCCCAAAATATCCAACAAAGTGGATGTTTGGGCCGTGGGGGTTATCTTTTACCAGACCTTGTATGGACGCAAGGTAACCACTAACTTAGTTCCTGTAAGATATTTTAATCACTGTGACTACGGTGAAAGTCAGCTGTCTGCTAACCATCTCCTTATTTTGTTTCAAAGCCTTTTGGTCATAATCAGTCACAGCAGGATATCCTACAAGAAAACACCATACTGAAAGCCACTGAGGTGCAGTTTCCTCCCAAACCTGTGGTCACCACAGAAGCAAAGGTGTGGTACTCTTCAACTGCTGTAAAACTCACTGCATGTGTACAGTGTCTGTCACTCATTTTACTTGGTTTTTAAGTCCCCATGAAATGATATTTCTCTTCCTGAATGTGATGTAATTTTTGCTCAAACTGAATTCTATGGTTGACCATAACAGTGGGGAGTCTTTTGTGACTGTAAATCAGTGGGATTTTTCATGAGGCTGACCATTAAGATATTCCGTTTACCAGAATTGTTCATTTTATGGAGTCTGTTAAACACACAGTGCCATATGCAGCTAGTCACTGAAGGCTGTTTACATGTATTGTCTTTGGAAGGGACCATCAACATTTGTAATGGAGAGGGCACAAACATAGAATAAAGTTTATTATGCCTAATATGTGAAATAAATGGTATCAGCACATTAGCAAGTAGGCCAAGAAATAAAACTGGAAGTAAGTCGAGACATAATGATTTTTTTTTTTTAAGGCCTTTATTCGACGTTGCCTGGCTTATCACAAGGAGGACCGTGTCGATGTGTTGCAGTTGGCCAGTGACCCTTTCCTAATGCCCCATATCCGAAAAGCCCTGGGCAGCAGCACACCTCTGGTACTTCCTATTCCCTCCACCTCCAGCAGTGCCTCTGACTGAAGCAAGCTGAAAGAAAATAGACTATAACTCTAGTGAAGACAAAGCCATGTGGAGACATTACACATGTGATGAAACTCCTCCTTTTTGCTCATTGTTGAAAGAGAGCTGAGGGCATGATGGGATGGATGACATGGTGACGTAGTCATAAATATGCCCACCACTATCGTCAAAGAGCTAATAATGAAGGGCCAGCCTCTGGCTCTGGGCTCAGTAGAACCCAAAGATTAGCCTATATGCATGCACTAACACAAAAAGTCACTTCAGGGGGCTTTTTTTTAACATGATAAATAGATAAAGCACCTGAAAATTGCACAACTGACAGGTCGAGCACGTGGAGGCTCGCCTGCCTGTACTCTGGAAGATTTAGAAGCAGCAGAATTAATTACATTTCATCCCATACTGCTTGAAATCCATCACCTATCACCCTGTTTCTCAGCACTACTGTGGTCAGTTTCAGTTATGTATCCCGCCTGGTTTGAACCTAGGACTTTTTAGGAAGGGCTCCGATGATGATGATGACGATGATGACCAAAGTTTGAGGCTTGCCTTGTTAACATGACATTAGTAGAGCTTTGTGCTGACTTGGCTCAGAAGATTGGTAACTGGTCTTGACTTATTTTAAATATTTAATTGAATAACTGGAAGTCAGTTTATTATTTTAATTAAGTCCATATTTTTCCATGGAATTTCCCCGTCTGTGTTTAACCTTAAAGGGGGGGGGCTGACAATGAATGAGTGTTGTGATGAGAAGTAAGATTCAACAGAAATAATTATGAACATTAAAAAACATTTGGCTAACTCCTAGTGTCTTATTGGTTTTGGGGAAAGTCATACACTTGTCATACAAAAATAGCTGATAATGATTTTGTCCTGATGCAGCTACATTCATGAATGTGTCAAAAACATTTCGCTCCTAAAAAAATTCAGCACACTGTTCATTTTGTTTCAGATTTATTAATTCAGATCCCACTGTTAAAAGTATTCATTATATCTAAGAATTCATGTAATGGTTCAGACTATTAACAAAGTAGCTCTATTGTTTTCTCTAAATACAAGTTTGCCTGCAAAGTATGTGTGTTATTGGCAAACGTGATAACAGCACTCAAGGTTAATGGAATACTGACTCCTGTTGAATACTTAACTGTTATTTATTAAAAATCCTATCTTCACTATAATTATCACATCAAAATTACAGCTTATATAATTGACAAACTGTGGTGAGAGCTACAAAGTGATTTCAAAGGTATGCAATGCAACAAAAGACCAAGGATACCCTGAAAGTGAGTGGTTACAAGTGAATTTGGGGAACATTTGTTTTAAAGTACATTCTAGCATGAGGAAGTGTAAAACTGTCAACAGAATTGAAAATTCCAGGTATTAGTGAAGCACACAAAAAGGAACAAATAGTTAACTTATCCTGTTTGCTTTGAGCAACATGACTACAGCTCACAGTTTATAATCTCCACTTTGCAGAACAAACTGGAATTACCTTCTCTTTGTAACATGTAAAAACACAGACAACCTACAGGAGAAAAGTAGTCCTGATAGGACCTGCAAGATGGTGCACACACACAACCATTTCTTTTCCTTTGGCCAAGTAAGATTCACACAAAATCCATTTATCAAAGGGGCATATGCAAAACTCAATCCAAGGGACTGTCTGACAGGTTTATCGGTTGTAGAACTGTGAGGTGACCCAGGCCAGTCCCCACTTCAGGTTGGTGAGCATAAACTTAAGCGCTTTTGTCCACTGCTCCTCAGAGTTAAACTGGGTTTTAATGGAGTAGGAGCCTCCGCTGCCACCTGTGTCCTCGATCTTGCCCTTCTCCACATCCATCCTAAGACACGGAATAAAACACCAGTTACAGTCATGATTGTGCTTAAACTTGAAGAACTGTGACTTGACTCTACACATCTAATTCTGACCAAAATGTTAAATGAATTAAATACCAAGGCTAGAGCTGCTAAGTGAAATGCCTGCATACTGAAAGTCTTGCTCTTCAGAGTCTTGAAAGTAGTGGAACCAGTCATGTCAAGTTTGTTCTCAGGGCGCAGAGTTAAGATCATAACCTAATTAAAACCAAAAAGGTGTATTTCTCCTCTGGGGCATGAATATACTCAGAAAGCGTAAGACATTTTTCTTATTAGATTATGAAATACCTCTAGTGCCTGAGGGTAGAACAAGGGAGAGATTCTGAGTCCAAAATGGAAAAGGTACATAAATGTGGTTGATAAATTTCATAGCAAAATTTCTATTACACTATGACATTTACTTTGTACGGCTAAAATATTTTTATTAGAAGGTGGTGCTGGAAGACTGGACAGGAATCATCCACTTGAGCATTTGATGGATATCCACTTGTCACAATAGCAATCAGATCACTGCCTTTTAAGAAATGTTACTCTGAATCAAAGCTTTGGACAGACTGACTGCTCAATCTAGCAGACCAGAAAATGCGAATTGGAATAGGAAGTCATATCTCTGTACCCATGGTCTGGTGAATGGTTAAATTATAACAGTGAAATATACTGTAAAGTACTTAAATAGAACTGCTTTCTATTTGACAGATTTTGAAATGTGAGGGTTTCAAGCCGCCATGGTCACCAGTCCTTTCACTCTGTTCTTCATCCTATTAAAGAATAGCCCTGACATGATGAGATTTCAGGCCTTCACGATGCTGAGCATAGAGTGGGGCTGGGATGTCAGATGTGGCTGCTGGCTGTAAGCTTTACTAGGCCACTTACACTAATTATTAGATGTTGTAATGGAGGGTGTGCTTTAATAATTCAAATGCTTATGTAGCCAATTCTTTCCCAAATGTCTATTATTTGCCTAAGCAGCATAATCAGAGCAGAAAACTCTTCAGCCCCTCTAGAATAAGTTGAGAATTTGCTTTGCGTTAAAACTTCATAAATATTTACAGCTTCATCTTAAATGGCTGCAAAGCTGCCCTTATAAACATAAGGAAGAAGTTAGGTATGCTGCCACTGCACTGATCTGTAGCTATCTGACCTGTAAGGGAGGCAGAAGCCAGTGTCTCCTTTTTCGACCTCCTCTTTGAACTGCTGGACACAATCCAGGAAGGCCACCATTGCATGGTCAAATTTATTGTCCCAGAAGAACCTCAGGCCACCTGAGCAGTAAAGAGGAAGCTCCTGGACAAACATGAGACAGAAATACAGGTCAGGGCTGGAGCCTGGAGGAACCTTTAAAATAATGAAGGGCGAGCTGGGCAGGACAATACGGCATGTATTACCCTGGACTTGTCTGTCAGCGACTCTAAGTATGAGTGGTTTCCATATGGGACAAGACGATATCTGAAGAGAGAAATGTTGTTTGAACTCAGTTTTATGCTTACTGCGCATACTTATAGGAAAGCAAGATTAAGGTACACTTAACAAGGTTTAAGAGGTGCAGTCATTTTAAACTGAGGTCAAATAATTCAGTGATAACTGAATGCTTGTCACTTAACAATGAATGTATGCTGCTTCAAGCTGTGTATACCTCTGAAAGCGCAGTCCCATTTTGTTAGCCAGAGCGTGCAGCAGCAGCACCGTCTGCCCCCAGGCTGCGTTGATCTCATTCCACTCCACTGGGACGCTGGGGAGTCGGCCCAGACGAAAATTGTTGATGGTACCGAACTGGCCGCTGTGCCTGCATAACAACAGAAACAAAGAATTCAGATTCTCATTCATTGGCTGTTGATTTATTTTTGTCCTGGGCCTATGTTAGAAATTTGCCATGATTGATTGGTGAAGAGAAAGACTAATTATTTATTCAATGTTTCAGTGTATACCAGATATGAAAAGTGGCATTGAAGACATTGGTCTTTTTCAGGCGATCTAGCTGAGTCTGGCAGTAACGCATCTGGTTGTCAACACTCTTCAACTCATCATCCAGTTCCAGCTGCTGCCGTTTAAACTCACTGTACTCCTTCTGGTACCTTGTAGCACAAAGCAGTGGATAGAGATAGAGTTGTCAAATGCCATGTCATCTAAAATATTCAACTACCACCCTTCCTACACTACTGCTAGGCCACTCACTGTAGCTCCTCTGTGTCCAGCTGCTGAGAGCGAATCCTGCTCTGGGCCAGGTCCTGAGCCACAGTAGCCCTCTGCCCCTCTACTTCTTCCAGCTCCAAGACCAGAGCCTCCTCCTGCTTTTTTAGCTGCTGCAGCTCTGCTAGTAGGGTCTCCTCTTCCTCCACCTGCAGGTGTGACAGCAACTCCAGACACTGCCTAAAAATACATTCATGTACAGTAAGTTATTACACATGATACTGCATATGATCAAACATGTGGAGTAAATACTTTAAGCTGTTCTTGTCTTGTGTTTGTAGCAATGAACTCCACCAGTATTTTCCTCTCTTGAAAATCTCTGACTGAAAACAGACATTTACATTGTTGTGTGCCAACTCACTTGTAATTCTGGCATTCATGCTCTGTAATGTTGAGCTGTGTGTCCAAGTGGTCCAGTAGAGTGTCAGTACATTCCTCACATAGTGGATGGTCCACATCAGTCTGGCCTGACATGATGTCAAACAGATCACTGGTCACCTGGGTGGGATAGGTTCAGAAACAAAACAGTTACCTTTAAGTTCAGATCACAGCTATAAGCTGAGCCAAACAAGCTATTTTGTCACATTGTTTGCTATTCTTGCCAAAACAACATGGCAACAGTAATAGAAACAAACATTTTCAGCTATGTGGATTTAGACTTTACCTTCAACCTCCGACTAAGATTCTCCATTGTTCCTCCATCAGATGCTTCTCCAATCAGTGTGAAGCTATTGGCACTCTCTGTGGACATCATCCTGTGGAGCAAGATTCGGCAGCTCAGTCAACTCTGCTGCATTTGCAAGTCCGTCCATATCATCATATCATATCATCGGACAGATGAGCATATCAACCAAAGAGACAGTCAGCATATATAAATTACAATTAGCACTCTGTTCGATTTCCTGAACGAAAAGACTTACCGTGCAGGAGGTATGTATTTTCTTGACACCCCATCTTGCTTGTTTTCGACAAAGGTTTCCTGGAAGGGAAATGTAAATCTGAGACTCACACGTTTTCTGGCAGTAGTTGGATGAACACAATTGCCCACATGTATTATAGTGATCTATTATAGTGGTCTGCCCTTGTACTTTATGCATCCTCACGACCTGAGCAGTAAAGTGACGGACCAGAAATAATTATAATCTGTTCCAGTGTGTGTTAAACAAAGATACATGATTTCATCCTATGATTTATGCCCGGCGGTAACCTACCTCTGGTGCTGTCTCCCCCTCACTGCTGTCAACCTGTTTGCTCGGTGTCACTGTGACCAACGGAGCTGAGGAGGAGGTTGGTCACACGGTACATGACAATATGCTGCAGTTAAAACACTAATACACTTCCACTCTTTAATGTTATATATTTGACAGCGCTGATAATTGGTCATAAAATTTATACATACCAATAAGTTCCTGGATAGTGACTCGATCGAGCACATTGAAGGACGTGTCCAATTTGAGGGGTTGACAGCATCGCTGACACACGAAGCTCACCTGCATGGTTGTGCTCGACGACTTAGAGCCCTCCATCTCAAGTTACAGAAGGAAAGAAATAACAGATCACTATAAATAAGTAAAACGTTCGAGTGGTTAGTAATGCAAACAACTAACGATCGTTTCGCCATAACTGTACCTTACTAGCCGTATACGAGTAGTTTGCTAACGGTACCCCAAAATGGCTAAATAGCTAGAAAGCAGGCTACCTAACGTTAGCTTCACAGCTAGTTTATGTGTAACATACATCCTCATTGTATAAGCATGAGACAGACTCACCGTCGCTTGTGAGAATTGAACTCTATTGCATTATAATCCGGACTTGTGCACGTCGAAAATGAAAAATCACTCTCAATAAAGTTAGCGTGACGGTCTCATTTTACACTTTAGGACCCGCTCCACTTCCTTATTGTTGTTTACGGCGGATGTGATCTCAGACAAAAAGTCGCGTGGGAAAACGTGACAAGAACCAGTTTGCATGCTACATAAATATATATCCATGATACAAACTACCCGCAAACTGATTCTTTAATATACAATATATTACGCTTATAGGCATTAAACGTTTTACTTAAGTAAAAGCAGAACAGTTTAGCATCAAAATATATTAAAAAGTACCACAAATAAGAGAGTGATTGAGGTGATAATGTGTTCATGACTTAAAAGTTGAAGGTTAGATGTTAAATGTTGGGGTTCATTAAAATTACTTTATATACCACTGAGTAGCTTGTAGACAATAATAGGCTACAACGTAAGATTTTTAAAAATCATATTTAGTATTATCAACCTTAATCAGCAAAATAACTAGTAACTAAAATGATCATAATGCCACTACATTAATGTAAAAGTACAATCATTCCATATGAATGTTGTGCAGTAGCCTACAAGTATAAAGCAGTAGAAAATGAATCTACTGAAGTAAATTGTAGGTAATACATTTTTCCATGTATGTCTATGAATGTCATTGATTACTTACGACAAAACTCAAATAGACCCCCTGGTCATGCAGATTCTAAAATCCCCTGGTGTTTTTTTTAATCTATTGCGCACAATTTGCTCCCTTTCTACCTGCATTTAATTGCTTTATTCGTAAATCTCTGTCTCGTTCCATCTGACATGTAGCTTTATACTTAAATGCAAACAATAACAGAAAGAAGCAGTGACAAAATATTTGGCAAAGAGAAGTCAACAGCGTGTTCAATGTTGTTCACTCTCCGGACCTTGAGGTGGCGCTGTACCATTAGCTGCAAAGCTCCTTAAAGGAAAAGAAGACGATAGTTGCGGGAAAACTGAAGCTGTTGATTCCTGTTTTGGTCATTTCATCGTTTAAGACTAGCAGGTAAACTTTGATATATATACAAACTTTTTGCAGTGGCCTAGGCCATTTTTAAAAGTCGTGATCTACTCTTTCACTCTTTGGCATATTCACGTCGATGCTCATTCTCAGAAGTCAAAGTCAGCATTACCAGTTGTGTAACCACACAACAAATCACAACACTCGAGCTATAATGTTAACGTTATCAGTATGATATTTAGCTTTAATTAATGCCGACATTAACTACTGACACTGTAGCTTATATGAGCACCAAACTGCCTTTTATAACGTTACAATAGTAGCACTGGATGCTAATTCTGTTTGGAGTTAACACATTATCTGTTTTTACCGTAAACCAACATTAAGTCTGGTTTGAAACGATATGATGATTCTGATGATGATTCGCAGACATAACCAATGTTATAACACTAACCATAAGACTCCCACTAAGTTAGACAATTTCACCAGCCAGTGAAATATCTTGTAAACTATGTAAATAATGCGTTAACGATCTTAAAAGTTTTTTACAGTCGCAAATGGTCTGTATCCACATAGTTTAGTAATGTTACACTACACACCACAGCAAGAAAGATTGTGTGCTGTATAACTTAGCCAGCTCATGAGCATTTGTGTAGTAAGCTGTCCGACATACTGAAGTTGCATTAGTATCTTCCTTTATAGATACTGGGACAACAATACAAGCTGTGTGACATGACCAGAGTCTTAACGTTTTTGGAGCCGGACCATTTGACATAATGAAACTGAAAAGGTCACCATTCAGTCAACACTAGGACATTTCAAAGACATTGTGTGCATGGTCTGTAAGTAATTATATGACCATAACAAAAAAGACCTTCATCGAAAGTCAGATGTTAAAACCTCATTGTCCCTGTCATCCCTGAGTGTGATAAATGGCAGATGCCACAAAAGTTGTAATTTTTTTTTGCTTGTTTTATTTTAGAAATTTGAGACATCTGGCATTCTACAGTGTTCTGTTAATTTAGACAGCAAATTAGAGAATCACAGTTCACACACAGATGTTTAGTGCCCAGCTCTATATTGTACCCAACATGTAAAAAGTTAAACTGTGGTTAACTGATTCATATTTTGTGTTTATTTACACACTTCAAAACTGTGCACATGCTGTTACATTTCTCATCATTAGAGTTGTACTTCCTGTAACACTGACTGAATAGCATTCAATACCAGCTATACCATCAACATACTCACTGTATAGTTTTGAAAGCAGTGTGGTCTTTACAGTGTCATTCTGATTTTTGTTTTGTAGTTTTTAAAAAAACACCAATGGAAGCACCAAAACCTGCAGATGTCAAAAAGGGGATATCAGCCCTTTGGGAGACTCTTCAATGTCCCATATGGTGGGTGTCATTCAAAGCAAGAACATTTGTTAAATAATAAAAATTTGCCTCATTTATAGTGTGTTTATTATTATTACAAGATCAAGATTGGCATTTAGGAAAACTGTCATGTTCTGAGCTTCATACTTTCTTTCACCTGTAGCTTGGATTTATTGACTACACCGGTATCTACTAAGTGTGACCATCAGTTTTGCAAGTAAGGATTATCCAATATAACTTTTTACTCAGATGATGTTCTGTTTAAAAAAACACCCAATTTGATTGATTTATGTTATTTTTTCCACCAGATTTTGTATGATGAAACTTTTGGAGAACTCTAAACAAAACAGGGCCACCTGTCCAGTGTGTAAAACCAAGATAACCAAAAGGTTAGACAAAATTAATAAGTTGAATTGTAAAAATAGCTAGAGCCATTGAAAGCTGATTGTTATTAATACCTGTATCATTATATTATGTTTTTTTTACTTATGCAGGAGCTTGCAGGAGAGCCCTGGGTTTCAGAGACTTGTAGCAGGATTACAGGATATGATAGAAGCATATGAACATGACACTGGCACAAACTGTAAGACTACTGTACACTATGAATTGCTTGAAATCACCTTAAAGAATTGACTTGTATTACATCGCCTAATAAAATATCCTTTACATTTTCAGACTTCACTGAAATTTCGCAGCAAAACAGACAAACAGGGTAAAACATTTGAACATTAACATTTAATACTGTGTCATTAGAAAAAAACTGCAAATACTAGTTTACTATTATTAGCTTACCCTTTTTTCTCAACTGCATTTTCCTCTACCCAGTGTCATGGATGCAGAACCTACTAAACATTCTTATGATATATCATCTCGAGAGACATCTGGGACTGACCATGACAACATGGAAAATGTTAACAGTGCAGATCTTCCAAGATCTCACTCTTCAACTATAGCAGGTAAAATCCTGAAGTCTTGTATGGTGGGTTATCCTATCACCCCAAGTTAATTGGTAGATCTGCTTAATTACCTCCACCAACGAGGTTATGTTTTTACCAGTGTTTGTTGGTTGGTTGGTTTGTTCACAAAATAACTCAAAAATTAATTAATGCATTTTGCTGAAATTTTTTGGAGAGGTAGAGTATGGCCCACAGAACAATCCATTAGATTTTGGTAGTGATCTGGGTCTTCATCCTGATCCAGGAATTTTTTTTTTTAGATTTCTACACCATTGTGTGACGGGGCCATAAAAAAAAAAGATTACGACTTTATACATAATGCTTTCTTGGACAAAAATTGATACTGAGCTAACCACGGCAAACGTTTGTGCTCTCTGAGTGCTGTATAGTGCTTAAAAGCTAATACTAGTATGCAGTGGTAGGTGGCACAAGAGGTAAAAGGTGATGGTTAAATTATTCATGTGGGAAGTGTTTTTGATTTCCTCGATTGTTTTGCAGCACAAAATGGATTTGCAAGACTTATGGGACTTGAAGACTCATCTCCTTTGACAGTTGAAAATGAAGGCCGGGACAGTGGCCTTGGTGACGTCCCACCGACTTCAGAAAAGAAAATGCACAGCTCTCCAGATAATTTGGAACCAACAGAAACAGAAATGTCAGAAGTTGTGGAAAAGACAACATCAAAACATAAAATAAAAGCCAATATGAGATTTTCCAAATTTGAGAATGCCTTACTTGATCCATTATTAATTCCAGATGAGACTGAACACAAACATTCAAGACTGTCCAAAAGGAAAAAGCAGAAAAAGGATTTAGAGCCTGACAAGATTCTTGAGCAAAAACAGAAAAAAAGTGTAGAGAAGGTTACTGAGTGGCTAATGAAAGTTCCAATTGAAGGAAGTTGTGAGACAGAGAAGCCCGACAAAGACACAGATGACTCTGACAGCTCTTCTTCGCCTTCGACAGTAGATGTCATGCAACACATTAATGATGTGAATCCTAAGAGAGAGGATCGTACTAAAGCCCTGGAAGAGCAGGTGTTCGGAGCAGTCTATAAACGAGAGAGAAGGGGAAACAGGACCAGCTCTCGTCCTCCTCATGTTTTTGTTGAACCACCAGAAACTGAAGAAACACAGACATCTCAGCTGGTTTCCAAAAGGGTGGAGGGTGGAGGAGGATGGAGAAACATCCTTACTCCTGCTGATTTTTGCAAGAAAAACTTTGAGGATGAAAATGAAAATGACATTGAGGAACAACAACAGATGACAAAAGAACTGGATGACACCAACACTGACATTTTTAAAGAAACCAACACTTGTGAGGATTTATGTTCTTTGTCTGATACTGAACAACAACCAAAAACAAAGTCAAAGAAAAGGATGCAAAACACTCTGCAGGATGTTGACAGTGATTTGCAGAAGCAAGCTAAGGCAGAATCTGAAAATACTGAGCAACAGAAAACAGACAAGAGAAGAGGTAAGAACACAAGGTCTGAAAAAGGAAAGCCTGCTAGGGTGGTGAAGCCCCTTGTCCTGGTTGGAGTTAAAAATGACGAAACAAGTCCTAAGACTAGACTAGGATCAGAAGAGGTGCAGCTACATATTGAGAACTATCCTAGCAGTGGGGACCAGGACACTCCTATCATGAGGAACACCAGGAGAAGTAGAAGACTTCAAGGTTACAAGAAAGCATACTTGAAAGCCATTTTACCTGAGAAAGACAGCGATGTTGCAAAGCAATCCGAGGAAGCAAAAGTTGGAACACTGGAAAATACAACATCACCTGGAAATGAAAGCAAGACAAGGGTGTCCAAAAGAAATGGATGCATTTACAATCAAGATGTAGGTGGAATTGAAACTGTGGAGCCTGCTGAGAGAATGTCCAACACATCAACAGAAAATTTGAAAGAGTCTGTTGCTGAAGTGCCAAATGCTGAAATATCTGAAACTAGTTCTGCTTGTTATATCCCTGTGGTCCTAGGATCTCCAAGTCCAACTGAAACAGGTGTGGTAGATGCACCACTTGAAAGTGACAATCCAGCAAATCAGTTTCCAAAAAATATTCATTTGCAAACCTCGGCTTGCAAGATTAAAGGCACTTTAGCAGAAATTGGGGATGATAAGAATGACAGTGAGTTGGACACGGAGCAACTGCTCAGGAGCTTCAAAGCCACTAAAAGGAAATCTTTCCATCTTGGTGGTCCAAATGTGAAAAGGACCCGTGGTTTAAACAAGGAAAGCATGAAGGATGCTGAAGCAGAAGAGAATGATTTTGCTTGTTCTGGTGTTGAACCTATGAAAAAAGAGACCTATACAGTAACATCTGAAATCACCAACCAAGAGGTATTAAGACACAATGAGAACTCGCCTTGTAGTGATTTGTTTTCCCCATCTGACTCACCTGTCCAGGCAAGAAAAAACGTCAAAAAAACAGATCAAGCGGAGGACGTTATGATCCCTGACACCAGTTGTTCAGGTCAGGACAATGCTGTTGGTAACGGCCTGTCCAGGAATAGCATTAGCAGTCCCCTCAGTCCTAATAAAGTGTCAAAGTGTGAAATAGAACATCCTCATCTTTCTATGGTTGTAGAAGTAGTTGATTCCGGGCTCCGCTTCACAGCAGTTGAACATGAGGCACAAAATGAAGCCTCAAAGTCCTCTCAGATTGCAGAGAGTCAACAGGATTGTTCTGTGAGGGATTTTGACAAAGGGAATGGGATAAGAGGGAATATTTCCTTGGGAAAACTTTGTTCAGTCAACAAGGGTGAACATATCTTAAATACAGAGTCTTCTTTAACTCCTGATGGCCTTGTAGCACCAATTATCCCAACTGTCCATAACGCAAAGTCAAGCAGTGAAAGTGCCCAGCTCAGCGCAAATTCCTCCATCAAAAGCAACCCAAGGCAGAAGAGAAAAGCTCAGAGACTCGAGTCTTCATCTGAATCAGATTGCAGTAATGCCAAGGAGGAAATACCAACTTTAACTCAAGTTGTCAGAACATCAGTTCCTCCCTCTGCTGTGACCCAGGATCAGGAAGACTCCAATGAAGCTAACAGATGTGAGGCCTCATGTGCTACAGCTGATGCAGAAGAACAGTTGAGTCGTCCACCTCCGTGTCCCAGCCCCGACAGTGTTGCTTCCAGCCAAGCATCTGTGGACTTGTTTGGCACGCCAGATGAATGTAAGCAGATTCATAGTTACCTAAACATTTTATAAGGTTTCATTTTTGTTTGTTCTAAAGAAGCACTGCAATGCCAGTATTTCTGTTTTGTTAATAATCTGGTTGCTCTGTTATCCACTCTTAAGAATTTGTGCACCTTCAGTATGTGAGGGGAAAAAAAGCACATTTCTGATGTGTTGAAACACAAAAGAATTTGATCATTTGTTCTCTGCAGGTGATGTCCCTGTAAATGACACCAGCCTTTCCATGGAAACATCACAATTTTCAAGTGAAGTTCTTGTTACACAGGTAAATATAATTGTTCTCCATTATTTTACTTTGTTTTAAGTGTGGTTGCAAAAATGCCCCCTTTGTTTAAAAATGAATGAATGAATAAATAAATAAATAATTCAGATGATAGTTGATCCTATTTCTATTAATTTGAGCAAAACTTTGCTTATTCAGCACTGTATGTTTGCTTAGTGCTCCAAGTAATGCACTGTCGCACTACGTCCCATAGAGGGCAGTCACTACATTTTCCCAAGCCAGAAACTGTCAGCTCCTGGATGACAGACTACCTCTCTCAGTAAAAAATGTCCCCCTCAGCAGCTTTCTAAATTGCATGTCATTTATGTTAGAGGAAGTGCCGCCTCAGAGATGATTCTTGTTTTCTTCCTCATCCATCTTCCAGCGCTCTCACTTTTATCTGTCGACTGTATTTGACTGTGAGTTCAACTTTCAAGCCCTGGGGTTTAGTGAGGTCTCAGGGCTACACACACCTGAAAATAGAGAGCTTTAGTATTGTGCTAAAGCTTTAGTGCTGTATGTGTATGCACTTGTGAGGTAAACTCAAAGGATCTTATTCAAAGTATTAGTCAGAGGAAGCAGTGAAACACACCAGTTGATTCTATTCTTTCAAACCAGGCTTAGATGAAATATTTTTCAGAACTTCCTCAGATCTCCTCAGTATTATATAATCATCTTTTGTCTCACTTACTATGCTATGCATGTTCTTCAATAACTACTGTCTGGCAGAAAAATCACAGATTCTATCATCTGTATAACTAACTGACTGTGATTGTGCGTCTCTCTGGGTCGGTGTCAGACACCAAATGCACAACCAGTATGTGTAGTAAATGTTGCACTGCAGCATTTTTTCTCCTCCTATTGTCCCCAGTATCTTATAAAACAGTATTTCTCCTTATAAGATGTTCTACTTTCTACTGATTTTTCCTCATTAAGCAAAAGATAGAAATCCAGAAGGAGCTGGTGAGGCTGGAGAAACTAATGGCTCTGGTGTCAGAGGTGCTTCAGGAGAAAGAGGGCAGTCCTGCAAAAGAAGTGCCCTCGGAAAGAAATCAGAGCAGCACAACCACAAGTAAGCTGGAAAGTGTGGGATACTGAGAAAATAATCTACATTTAAATAATAATTAAAATAATCATTATTCGGAGCCCAGTTTTTTTTTTTTTATCTAATGAGTAATGATGTGATATTTAACATGCAAGTTTGCTCAAAGTTCAACTTTAAGATGACATGCTGATCAAAACAAAGATATTTTATTTTGACTAAACATGATTGTTATTTTGTGTCCCCAAATCCAGATGCTCACAGGTCCCTCCCATGTGACCAGGACGCAGGCCAAAGTTCAGACCTGTAAGTAAAGCATGGAGGAGAAGAGACATTTTAGTTTCACATAGTTGATAATACACAGTTAAATGTGCCAACGAATGCTTGCTGTGGAAGCTTAATGTTCACGTTAAGTGACGTTTACCCATTATTTGGCCGCAGTCTGGGGGATATCAGGCCATGCCATCATACATCTTTGGGCCCCCATAATAAACCACATGACCTTCCAACCATAACCCTACCTAACATACACATACAATAATTTTGTAGGCACCAATACCTGGAACACTGTTCTCCAACCATAACCTATTATACCATGCATATATCAGAAAAGTTCTCCACTCTGACCTTAATACAAAACATCCCCGAAAACTATGTATATTTAAAGCCAATTAGTAATTTGTCATTATGTATTGCAAAATTTCAGGGAAAAAAGTGTTTGTCAATGAATACATTTTGAATAGGTGACAATGAATAAAAAAGAGTTAAACACTAAACATAATATAAAAACCATCATCAGCACCTGCTATTTTAGCAAGAATTGAGTGGAAATATATTACATACAGTACGTATAGTTAATTAAACTGTTTAATGGAACTGGCATCATGTCAAACCACAATCAAGCCACAAATAAGCCCTGCCTTAGCTGCTGTCTGACATGGCTCCATGCCTCCCAACATTAAGGCATTGTTTGTGGTATGCAGGAAATGATTAGAGAAGCTGCATTGCAAAGTGATCCTCAGAAAGTGGACGATTAGGAACCGGTTCAATGTTGTAACTGTTTTCATTCCTACAGAGAGGACATTGTTGAACTTGTCAGTTCACTGTAATTGTTTGTCTGACAATATTGTAACTGAAAGGGAGATTTGATCTTTCCTATCTTGGGCCTTAGTTTTGTATTTGTGCATATTGTCACTACCTAGAAAGTACAAAAAATGAGAGTTAGAGGGGAGAGGATCAATACCAGTGTCATTTCAGGGGTTGGTCTTTGTGTTAAACTAAGCTTATTGGCTGGCAGTGATAGCATCAAATTTAATGGACAATTATAAGAGTGGTATTGATCTTCAGATGTAACATGCACCAGAATGCAACTAAGTGTGAAACTTTTCCTTAAACTAAAGGAGGCAGTTTCTAACCTGGAACATGAATGTGATGGACCAATGACTGAGCAAGACACAGGATTTGTCTCTCAACTGAGGAATGATAGCAGGAAGTTTTTTTTTTTTGTGTTGTTTTTAAGGAGGCCAGTTAACCAGTCAGTTTGTCTGACATTGGCCTCAAGTCGTGTGACAATTCTTGAAATCAAACCCTACTTTAATAACAAATCTAATTAAATACTGTCTGCCTCACTGCGCTGCATTTCTCTCCACAGAGGGTTGTATACATTAATACATTTTAAACGGTGCTAAATTTGAATACAGCCATATTAGTAGAACAGTAACTGGAGCAAGTGGCATGTAATTGGTCTCTGTCAGTCTGTAAGTGAAGGAGAAACTTAGCAAGTGTCTGTGTCTTGTTCTCAAAGGGTGTTGCATCTCCAGAGGACGGGCATATAATCTCAGTAATGAACCTAGAACCTGCTTGCTGACTGCATTTTACAGTATATGTCATTTAGAGCACTTAGAGGGAAATGTGTGTTGCCATAGTAATTTACCTCTGCTGATCGACTGTGTCCCCCAGCTTCTCTCCTCGCAAGGCTCTAAGTGCTGTCCTCCAGGCAAGAGAGGAGGAGGGATGGGAAAAGACCGCAGATGAAAACATAGATGAGTTTAGTTATACAAGTTTTAAATTAAAAATCATATTTTACATGAGCTCAGTGGGAAATAATAGTTGGCTCTGGAGTATATGACAGGTTTTGAACGAGCCCTTATCGCTATGTATGATACAGTTAATTTAAATGTTGGCATGCTGCCAGTCGTCGGTAAGACTGGATTGTTCGAGTGGAGAAGCTACCTGGAAAGAAAACAAAGGAATAGAACTTCCAAAGTTTCATTCATATAACCTATAAAATCGCTTGTAATCTAATGATAATAATTAAATACAAGTAACTGGATATTTGGTTTCTGTCGACACCATTTACATCTTCCTACCGAATGCACCTGCACATTTACAGTGCAGTTAGACTGTTTGGACAGTGATGTGTATTAATTGTTTTGGCTTTTTTCCAGCATGTTAGAATTCAAGATGAAACAATAACCGTGAGTTGAAATTGCTGTTCTTCAGTGGTCAGGGTACAAAATCCTTTTGTTTTAGTACAATGCAGCAGGATAATGACCATAAACATGTAGACAGTGCAACCCTGGATGGTTTCATGGCCAAACAGTGAAATTTTCTTGACCGGCCAAGTCACTCACATGACCCCTGTCCCACTAATCGTATGTTGCACTTGCTATGTATCACTGAAAATCACCAGGGAAGATACTTTGCTGATATCTGTGGGTTGTTTACTTCAGGCAGTCACTGACTGCAGGATTTGCAGCCAAATATATTGGCTAACTTTAATGAAGTGTATGCTGGCTCAGGTTGCTTTCTGTCCACTAAAGCTGGAACACTGTATGTTCTGTACTGTATGTGTTATGTGTCCTCATACTTTTCTGACTACACTGGTTTCTGTACTTGCATCTCACGTCTCTGTTTGTTTGTGTTTTCTCACTTTGCAGTATTTGTTCAGAGCACTGTGCATGTGTTGCCAAACTGGTGAAGATGGTTTCTTAGTTTGTTTGTGTTTAGTTTGTTTTCATGTGCCTTCTTAAGATGCATTGAGCTCTCTGAGTCACTGTAGTTTTCAGACAATAGCAGCACTTTGGAGCAGTTGTCCTTCCAGTGCAAATTGCACATCTTCTGAAATCATTCCAATTAAATCGCTACTACTAGTGCATATATTCAATATGCTGATCTTGCAGGGCAGCATGGGACATCCCTGCAAGCATTTTGGTAACTGAAGCTACAGTCCATGTTCTCTTTTCCTTTATTGATCAGTGAAGGATAATATAAATGTCTGTTTTGCAGGAAAGATGTTCCAGATGCAGGAGGAGACCCCAGCACAAGAGCATCTGATGGGAAAGGGGTCACACATCTCGGTGTGTCAAACCAAGGTGACATTGCAGAGATGGGTGAGACTACTGGTGTGCTGTTGTAACTGGGGATGGGTACTGAATCCAGGTATTAAACAGGCACCAGTGCTAAAATGTTAAACAACATAGTAAGCCCCGACATTATCTGTTCTGCTGTCGGTACTGGAGAAGTTAAGAAAACAATTTCCTATTTATTATTGGTACATAAAAGTTATCTTGTACGTTTTATCCCACCAACTCAGTTTCTGATGAATACATTTGTCTCTGAGGCATTTTTGTTTTCCCCAGTTATGGAGGCCAGCTCTGTGTCTCACACTGCTGCATCGTGCAGCACAAACACAGTGGAGAGAACTAAACTTTAAGTGTGGTTGCACTTCACTAGGGTCGATGCCGACACTGTTCATTGCAACAAGTGTTTATTGCATGTAAGGTCAGAGACATCTGTGGAACTATCTAGCCAAGGTCCATCACAGGCAGAGAAATGCACAGTTTTCGACTGCCTAGCTGGTAGTTCATCTCTCGTTGATCAAGTATGTTATGTATGCTAGTAGCCTGGAGCGCACACACAGATTAACTAAATTATATGAACATTGATTATTGATTAAAAGTAACTATTTGCCAGTGGATTATTAAGGATGTGTTCATCAGTTCAAACTGTCAGAGCAGCGAGTTTCAGAGCCCTCAGAGCAGGGGTGGATTTAGTGGTTTGGGGGTAGGAAAGTACTGCACAGTATAAATACTGTCAGCCCTGCATTTGATTTCAGTAATCACATTATAGTCTAGTGATTTTTCAAAACAATGCTGTTGCACTCTGCTTCTCAAGAATGGTAACAGTAGCCTACGTGTGAGAAAATTAATTCTGATTAAATGTGTTCATAATTTTTTCCTCTTAAAAAAAAACAAAAAACAAAAAGAACCCATAAGAGTACCGTAAAAGTACTGGATCGATTATTTTTGCAAAAAAGTAATTATTTTAAAAGTTTAATCGTTTTCCATCTTTTTATAGCACATCTATTTTTTCCACCAAATTATGGAGAGTAGTATCAATAAGAATAGCGATAAGTATATCAGTATAGATACATCCCTACTGATCCATCTGTAGTTGTAAGAAGCACAAGTGTTTTTCCATGGGAGCATAAATGCATATCTAACAGTCAGTAGAACACATGTAGAAAGAAACATTTTTGAGATGTTGCTCTTAATCGCAGTTTGATGTGTTTCTTAACCTGATGAGTTCATACATTCCCATTAGGTTTCTCCAAATTTGCACTGGGAGACCTGTGACCTGGGCTCTTTGTTGCTTCTCAAAATGCTTTTAGTGTGCCAGTGTGGTTTGACTATTGAGTGTTTCTGCTGTTTTGTCTGGTTAATATTTAGTGAGGTGGGGGTTCAGCACCGTGTGACACACAAACAAAATGTTTTTAAAAAGAAATAGAACTTAATCTGGTCAGGGCTAACTGTTGATGACTCATACCTTTTGCTTGTTTGTTTTGAAAAAACCTTAGAGAAAAATCAACTGGACTTGGATTTCTAGGTCGAAGACGTTTCACCTCTCATCCAAGAGGCTTCATCAGTTCTGACTGGTCACTGTCAGAACTGATGAACTATTGAAGAGGCTTCATCAGTTCTGACGAAGCCTCTTGGATGAGAAAAGCCCCCCCAGCCTCGGGGGCTCCTGTTTCAGCAGCCAAAACACTTAAGAACTGCAGTTCGCCATCAGATGGGCAAGAAGACAAAGAAAACAACACACCTCCAGGAGACAGACATAAAGCTAAGATGGTGCTAGTGTCATCTGGATTAGTGCCCCATGAACAGGTGTCAGGTGTCAGTCATTTTATTTATTTATTTGCATTCTACAATCGGATACGTTAACCAGCCAGATATCGTCATTGACAGGTAATGGTAAAAAAGTTTGCCAAGCAAGTTGGTGCTCGTGTGGTTTCCCAGGTGACACCAGAGGTGACTCACATCATAATGCACACAGGTAGGTGCGCTCACATCCAGGCAGTGTGAATATATTGGCAACACTGTTAATGTAGTCGAGACTGTAACTATTAAAAGAGTTTCGAAGTGATGAACTGATTTACTGGACTTTAATTAATGGTTCAAAATGGGCTTGAGACAGAGTAAAGCAATTAAATTAGTTCTTAAAGCTCCACTATGGAGCTTTGTTGTTCCCATTTTGAAATATTTTCTCAAGCAATAACATTTAGCATGTACATAAGTACACTTTCTTTCTACATGTAGTTACAGCTTGTGTTGTGCGTCTTTCAAAGCGACCTTTAGAGATAAGCTCTCTGTTTCTCTCTCACCCACACACCCTCTCCTCCAGTCGTCCGCTTGTTGCTAATTACCCTCTCTGTACCCTCTCTGATAGATTTTTCAATTTCAAAGCTCGCTGTCTCCAAAGCACCATATTTATTGTCACTATTTAAGAAGCCCTTTTGATGGCAGCTGTTTCCTGGGCAACACAAAGAACAAATAAGAACGTGGGGCCTCTTGATCTTTATTGTTAAAAATTGGAGGAGCAGGAGGTGACCCATTCTCTTCATTAGCAGAAAATACTTCTGAGTCATTTAAAAGAAGATGTGTTTGAGGCACTTAACACCTGCCTGAAATACAGATCAATGGATAATTATTTTGTTTCTTGATTGAAGAATATCCTATCACCCCACTGATCAACTATAGTTTGTTTCTCAGTTTGCTTGGTGCAGTTTCAACGCACTCTTCATTCATTTTGTCTGGTGACATGCGTTTATTCAAACCTTTGTGTCAAACACCTTTTTGATGCCATTAAATAGAAATAATGTCTGCATGTGACCTAGTGTTGGAGGTTCAATTTTATATTTCTATATCGATGTCAAACGTCTTTCCCCCATTAAACTGTCAGATTTCAGTTATTTTTGGAGGCTTGAAAGGATAAATGTATTGAATTATTAAAGAAAAATAAACAATTTTAGATAAATAAATAAAATGATTCTCTCCTATTCCATTAATCATCGGTTATTAGTGATAATAATCAAATAGCTCTTTATATGTGAGTTATTTTCAGTCACCATAGAAGAAACGCATAGCTTGTGTGGCCCCCACCCACCTACCCACCACCACCCAAAAACGTTCTTTCTGGGAAGAGTGGGCAGCTGTTATAGCTGTATATTGTTCTTTATTTTGCATCACATTAAAGCATTTGATTGTCCCTCCATAAGGACACTTCCCACCAAATACTGTATATAGTGTCTCTGTGTCTGCACACTATGGCATGTCTTCTGTTGTTTTACTGTCATGTTTCTAGGCTGATATTTCCACACTGACTTGTCTTAGTGAAGTCCGGGACTCTTAGAATGATGATTATAACTCATTGAAATAGCTGCTCAAATGTCATGAAATGTTATTTCAACAGTAAAAAACAAAAAAGTAGTAAGATTGGCCTCATTATTGTCAGACTCATAAATTAAATCAATACTTTTGACTTACTGAACCGGGTTAATGGCACAGTCAGTCTAATAATACCATATTTATCACACTGATAAATACGGTATTACACTGATATAGGTTTTACAAACTCAAGGTGTGTGTGTGTGTGTGTGAGTGTACATGTACTTCTGCACATCTGTTCACATGTCTCTGCTTGTTGTCTTATCTTTTTCAGATGAACAACTGGTATGCGAGCGCACACTGAAGTACTTCCTTGGCATTGCTGGCAGGAAGTGGGTGGTGAGCTTCCAATGTAAGTCCCAACTCGCTTTATTGTGAAGCTCGCTCACTGATGAGTTTAGAACTCTAAATACAAAATAGCTTGAAGATGGAAGGATATTCTAGTGGTGTGTGAAATATAAGTGGTATGTTACACAAAACAGTGGCCACCAGAATAGTGTTTGTGCTTCAGACAGTAAGCTTTCAATTTTATTTTTAATTTCTCTCCCCAGGGATTTCAGAGTGCTTCAAACAAAAGAAACTCTTAGAAGAGGTACGCTTTCCTGTGTGCTCCTTCAATTTGCGTGCTGGCAATTTTTTGTTACATCTCTGCATATCTCAATGTTCAATTAAGATTGCATGATGAATTTGTCCTTGAGGTTCACAGTGATACCTCATTAATTATTTGTCATCCATTTGCTTTAGTAATCTCTGCCTCTGGTTCTTTGCTACAGAAGTATAATGTCCTGCCAAGCTTTATTTAGTATTACCATAATTTAAAACAATTTCTTTCTTGTGCAGGTCAGTATGTATGTATGCATTTTTGTGTAACATATAGTGTATGTAAAAATGGGTTCAGTGGGCAGAGCAGTCGTCTCCCAACCAGAGGGTTGTAGGTTTGAATCTCGGTGCCTGCAGACCACATGTTGAAGTGTCCTTTGGCAGGACACTGAACCCGCAAGTTGCCCCCTGATGGTTAGAGCCATCGGTGTGAGTTAGCGCCGCAGATGGCTGCCTCGGTTCTGTACCGGAAACAAATTCCTTCTATGTAACATACTTGGCCAATAAAGGTGGTTATTATTATTATTATTATTATTATTATTATAAATAAGATTAACATTAACTGTCTGCCAGCTTCTAATAAGTCTGCCTGCCAGATGAGAGTGAATAATCATTTATTTAAAAGCTCATAGCAACAGGATAAGTTTTATACTATTTTAATTTAGGTTCATGTGCTGCACTTTACATACAGTACATATGCTGTAGTCAATTTGCATTGTTTGCCAACAGAGTTTCTTTGAAGTAAGAGGTGACGTGGTGAACGGACCCAACCACCAGGGCCCCATGAGAGCTCGTACCACTGAAGACAACAATGTGAGTCCATTACACACTGAACAGGTAGAGCAAGCAGGACGTGGGATATGACAGTTTTTTTTCACATCTTCATTGTAAATGAATTTTTCTTCAACATCGGAGTGTGTGAGTACTCCAGACTATACATGGCACTTTTCCTACATGGGCTCACTCCATCTTATTCAGACATTATCAGACTAGGGAGCTGGCAGGGTAAAGTCCGGGTCAACTGAATTGGACACTTGTGTTCTCACATACGGCTCCTCAGGGTAATGTCTAGCTAATTTCAGGTCTGAAAAAGAAATGTTATGCAGTGTTTGTTAACCTGATTGTATGTAAAGGCAAAGTCAGGGGTCACCTCGAAGACTGTAACAGTCATGGTGTATGATACTCCCAGAATCTGGGTCTTAAAAAACTGTACATGTTAAAAAAGCTATGAAAGGATTTTTTTTTCTTTAAGTACAGTTTTAAATATTATTTATTAATAGTTGAAAACTAAGAAACTCAGTTAACCTGCTTCTGTTGGACTATATCAGTGTGTTTTAATCAGTTTTGACTGACAGCATCACATCTCTGTCAAACTTTGCTGAACTCTGATTGGTACACAGAAGTCACATCACCTTTTTCTAATGAGCCCCACTCACTTCAGACCAGTGTGAAAAGCTTAGGTGACAACACAAATACAGAAATCTGTCATTTGAAATAACCAAAATTGTCCTAACTCTGGCAGAAGCCTGAAAAACTCCAGTAAAAAAGTGATTAAGTAGTTACTTAACGGACAATGAAATAAAATGAAAGCAATGCTGTCAGCCAAGAACAGTGTAAATAGAGTATCAAGTGAAGAGTCTCCTCACTTTCTTACAGTATAAAAGTATTAAAGCTACTTAATCTCCATTTAATTCACCCTTTGCCTAATGAAGGTCTTTATCAAAATAGCAGATATTATCTTTCTACTTTTTTTTACTGCTGCTGTCAGCCGATCATTCAGCCTGATATCTACACCCAAAACATGTCAAGAACATTAGACATTCCTACGAACTGACTGATTTAACTGGTTCAGAAATACTTATCTTAACACAAACACCTTTAGGGAAGAGAGAGTGAGGGATGAATGAATAAATAATTTTATCTGACCGCAAATAATATTCTGAGTGGTAGGAACAAGTCAAATAAATCTCCCAATAAGAACCAGCGCTTAAAAAGCTAACTGTAATTTTACCCCCTGGTGTAAGGCCACCAGAACCAGTTCTCTGGCCACTGAGGAGGAAAACTAGCTATGGCTAGATGTCGTGTTGGCTGTATCGCTGCCTTTGAAGAACCTCCACTAATTGAATTAGCTGGTAATTTCAGACTTTTTTAAGTGGCTTCAACCTGGCGCCAGCTCTTTGATAGAGCCAGACAGATTGTCCTGTTCATATTACCTTTCTGTCACCTGCACCACTGTGGCAAACATACTGGGGAATCTGTCACCAGAGTGTTGATGCTAGGAAATCAGTCAAAGAAACTGTTTGTATGTGTGTATGTGTAGCGTCTGCACATTATCACATCACGTACACTAATACTTCCTGAAGGACATTAGCTGTTGTCTAAATTAAAAATCTGTAAGTGAAACACTTTTTCATCTCACCAAGCACCTCTGGCTAAAGATCATTATGAACGGACAGGGAGGTGTGAGAGATTAGTATTTCACTTTCCAGCAGCCCGGGACATTTATCTTCCGAACACTTCCATCCAGTAACACACTGTATATGAGGCTGTGGTATGAGCCACACATTTCCTTTTTGTTTCGTTTTTGTGCATGGTTCAAGGAAACAATTTCATATTCCCATTTTCAGCAAACTTATTGACAGTGAGTGCAATAAAACAATGTGTCCCTGGTGTCGGCAGGTCGTTTTTCTTTGTGTGCTTAAAGCGTGATATTACCTTGGTGAAGGTGGCTCTGCTTGTTCTGCTTTGTTCGTCTCATCCCTAAATTTACAGGATTAAAGTGAGAGCAAAAAATGAATAAGGTCCTGTGGTTTTATCTTGCACTTTAAGTGAGGTATGCCTGCTATAAAGTGCAGGATATGCTTGGTGAAGTGTTTCAGCTCTGCCAGTGTAGCCCTTTAGACGCATAAAGAGATCAGAAACATTCAGCTGTAATGGCAGTGGCTGTAGTGGCTGCTCTCATACACTGCTGCTGAATATTGCCCCAAGGTTAAATTCACCGAATAAATGTTCTCTTTTGTTTGACTGTAGAAATTGTGGAGACATTCCCTAGATTATGTTTTGCTTACCTTGTTTCTTCTTTTTAGCTGCTCATGAGGGGCTACAAGATCTGCTTCCAAGGGACCTTTACAGACATGACTACAGGTAAACCACAATGTTAGGTGACCTGTGGGGATAAAAGTTTCCTCTATACTCCATGGGGCCAAGGGCTGAAAGGTAACATGTAAAGCAACGCCGGGAATGACTGGGAAGTGTAACAAAGGCTCTTCTGTATGTGGATTTTTGTTATGAGAGTGTTTTGTCCGAGCAGTTTTAAAGTGTGAAACACACTACAGCCCAATTAAAAGTGGAGTTCTAAGGCAAATGCCATTATTGATATTTAAGAATTTATAATTATTGAGTTTGGTTTCTAAAGAAATATTTTGAAAAATACATTTATTGACTTTCTTGATGCTATGATAAGAATTTTCTCTTACAAATTGGAGTCTTTTTGTGATGTTGCCAGGAAACCAGCAGAGACTCCAGGAAGTGTCTGTATCCAGCCTGGTAATAATTACAGCACCAAACTACTTGGAAAACTACAAATTAACATTTTTTAAAGTGTTTTTTGTGTGGATGAAATAGTGTGTTAATTAATCAGCATTAGAGATGCTGGCAGATGGTTTTCCCTGCCATAGAAAGGCTTAGGCACAGCACCTAATTTAAGTGTTTTTGCAAAATCTTTAGCCAAAAAAACATAAAAGGGCCTTTAGGCGACATATTAGAACAAATGTTTGCTAAAAACAACTGGTAAAATTACATGCACTGACAAAAAAATGTTTGATTTGTATGTACAATAAGTGTTGATAGCTGTCTTTCACAAATATTGTAAAGGGAAAAAAATAAGATAAGATAATCCTGTATTGTCATTGTAACACGTACAATGAAATTTTAGAGTGAACTCCAGTCGGTACAGCAATAGAAAAATACATAGCATATGAAATAAGACCATATAAAAAACTTTCCAGCTATCACCCCCAATCTAGGCTGCACCTAAGCCCTCCGAAAGCCTAGGGAAACCCCTGGATGGATTGTGTGTTACCAGACCAGCTGTTTCCTGGTCTTCGGTCTTAAGGCTATGCTATGCTACGTCAGTACGGGCTATAGCTTCCTATTTAAGATGAGACTCACACAAACATGTCATCAACAAAATATCAAAACTATTTCCATTTCACAGTTATGACCAATGTACAGTAGGTACTGGGCAAACAGTTAACCTCCCTCTGGACAAACTATTATGGCGACAGTGTCTCAAAATTCCTGCAAATGTGTCTTTGGTATTTTTGTATTGCAACTTAGCAGTCAATGTATGGGTTGGGTTCTACTAACAAACAAAATAAAAAAATGATTTTGATCATTTTAGAAATGCTTTTGCCAAAACATTCACTCCTCACATATGTTATGATTCCATTAATTTACTCCTTGGTTCATGCAGTGAAGCAGGCATGTATGGTGTTTATCTTCACATGCTGAATGCAAAGTGGGGTGCACGATAGTGGGAACAAACACAGAACCCATCACAAGTGTTACTGGACTAAAACATTTCAGTAGGTTCCTATAATGGAACCATTAGATTTGCTCTCTCCTTGTTGCTTACTCTTGTTCAGTTTCTTCTTTGTCTGGGAAACTCAGCACTCAAATGCTAGAGGAAATGCAACCCCTAGATAATGTTTCTAATTAATGAACCAAAAAAACCAAGGCTTTTTTTTTTTTTGCTTCCATTTGCATGTTCTTTCAATGGAAAAGATGGCTAAAAACCTAAGGTGTTATTTCATGGAATTGTTGCTTTATTTCCAGCTACTATCATGCTGTTTGCACTCTTCTGTTTTCTCAATTATTACTTTTCACAACCACTCTTATTCAGCTTTATTGATGTCTGTGTCCTGCAGGACTCAAATAGACACCCATTTAAATAGGAAAAATGACAATACAAAGAAAGCAGCTCATGCACGTTTCGACTCATCCTGAGAATACATTGAAACTCGTGTTGTTTTTAACCGTTTCAGCACTGGAGAGCACTGACAATAGATTCCAGCTCATTGGAGTACTGACTACTGAACTTAAGAGTTGTGTGAGACATTTTAAGAGTGGTGTCACATTGCACAGCAGTTGCTATGGAGTCAGTTAGCTGTCTGGAAATAGTTTCTGTATTGGAAATGAGCATTCAGTCATGGCCATAGTGCTTCTGCAGTTCTTATAGTCTTATTGTTTCTGTATCAGGCTAGTTTTTGAACTTTGGTCCTTATGATTGAAACTGTTAATGAGCGCTAAGCGAGGGTGAAAAGAGTTTGGTTGTCCTTTTATATGGGCTATTTTTTTCCGTTAGCCTTCAAACATAGATGAATGAACAGATAGATCATGGATGAAGGTCCCAGGAGGCTCATTCCTTAAAAACCCACAAGGCAGCATTCTTTGGTTTCCTTCTTCCCGGAGCTCTTTAAGTGCTCTTGCAGCACCCTCCCACTGCCTTCTGGATCGATGAAGCTTTGCTAATGGGTTGACATCTGTTAGCATCAAGAGTAGTTTAAAGACTTTCTTTTACATGCTACAAACAGGGGAATTGAGCCTTTTTTCTTTGGCCCAACCGGAATTCATTCATTATTTAATTGCTCAAATTTGTGTACATTACGTGAGCTGATCTAAGCATATACTACGTTGCTTAAGCGCTCTCATTTTAAACCTAATAAACAGTGGAAGGAGTCGTTGTTTCGCTATAGTAGGTAGGAATATGAACACATTATTTAAATCAAATTGATGACTGACTGATCTGAGTAGAGACTGTATTGACTGTATAAGTATTGACTTGTTTTCGGCCCCTCTGATCAGTTAATGAGTTATATGTGCCAAAGAATGGGAGGGCGTTCCCTTGGAAGCTCAGTATTCAAGTTAAGTTATGTTTGCCCATTATTTGGCCCCATAGAGGGGGGTATCCGGCCACGGCACCATAAATCTTCTGGGCCCCATAATAAGCCATAGGACGTATGAGCTTGAAATGAGTCTCCAGTGTATCCCCTCAGGATTAAATGGGTGAAAGCAGAAAGAATAAAATGTGAGCACTGATCATTTTTCAAAAAGCGCACCCCCAAAACCATCATTGTTTGTGTGTGTGTATGGCCATCCTAGATGAAATGAGATGGATGGTGGAGCTCTGTGGAGCAGCTGTAATTAAAGACCCACTCCTTCTCGACAGCGAACAGGTAAGGTTGTCAAGCCTCTCTATCTTGAAAACACTAAACTCAAAAAACTTCACAGTTATTGTGCCTTTCCACCTTCATGTTGGTCATGTTTTAAATGCTGAAGTGCAGGTGTGATTATTTTAAAATCAGGTTAGTGTTAGAGAGTGCCATAGGGATGATGTCATTTTGTAGGCCAACCCAGAAGTCAGCATCACCTTGGTTCCTTTGACAAAAAGCCAATGGGATTTTAGATTATTGTGGAAAATAAGATCTAAGACAAACAACGATTTATGAGAATTACATATTTTGTTCATCAAGATAGCCTTCGCAAGTGAACACTGCTTTTATGATTTTTGAGATCCAAATACAATCACCAGAAGTAAAAAGCTATTATATTATAAACAAACTACACCACAGTCACACAAGTTCAGCGTCACCGTTACAAATCACAAAAATTGACTTGTGCTATAAATCCCCAGATTCAACAGCTACCACAGACTAATCGATGATTCTTAAGCCAGCAAATTTCATCCAAGATACTTTGTTGCTAATAGATAAATGTGAGATAAAATATAATTTATTTTCAAATTACCTGGCTATATGTATATCAGTTGTATTTGCTGCTAAATTGGTAATTCTAAATTGGGCCTAATTTCTGTCTTTCTGTTACACAGAAGTCCCATCAGTTGGTGATTGTACAGCCTGGATCAGAGTCGCCATCCTCATACAGCAGTGAGTCTTGTCTGAAAACAAAATTTCATTTTCACCTGCTACTTTTATACCTGACAACAAAATGGCACACTTTCAGTCTTGTAGTAGTTAATTTAAAATAGAGAAGATTCTCCAAACGTGTTAGCTAATGGAGTTAGCTAATGGACATTTAATCATGTCACAGATTGTTTTGGCTGAAATCACTCAGAATATCTCTGCCTTTTAAACAAGGTCTCTTTGAAAATGGCTATTAATATTAAGTTTTTGCTTAAACTGTTTATTTGAATATGCTGTTGTAAACAGACATTTGTCACAAGCATAGCCACTCTGGTTGGTGTGCCTGTCTGTTGACCTGTCTGTCCATTGGTGCATGAATTTGAACACTTTGCGAATGTGTGAGGACCAGTTGCAGAGTGACAGAAGGGTGACATGGCCAATGCTGCCAGCTAAAATGAGACAGGTTCCCACCAAGAGTGAGGCGAGTGACTTGTGAGGAAAGTGGGTGTGAAGAAAGTTAGGGAGCAGAGAAATGGCCTAGAGAAAATGTCAGATTGAAGTAGGGGGAAATGTTCAAACAAGCTGGCTACTGAAGAGAGAGGCTGCCATAGCATGAGGAGAGCTGACAGTCTGGGAGAGGGAGCGAGTGGCTCAGAGTCCTCCCTCCTACATATTTAATGGAGCTTTCCCTCTTCCACGCCCCCTGGCACTCATAGCCCAGATAATTGAGCAGCCCCCCTGCTTATTTGAGGAATTTGCATACATTCAGGTGGCGTTCAGATTAGTTGATTACATCAGCATTTTGAAAATAACGCTTTTGCTTGTTGTTTTTTTTACTCGTTTTGTTATGCTGGTGATCTTTAATGGTCTGTACTGATAATCATATAGCTGTCTATTATGTCACAGTTGCACAAAGGTAAAAAAAAAAAAAAATATGATTGGTCATACACTACTGTATATTTGTCCTTTTGTCAACTATCCTGTGAAAAGGCTGAACAGCGAGCAGTGCTCTAGAACCAGGGACGCTGGAGTTCAGGTGCCAGCATCCTAATCCCTAGCCATGATGGTAGAGCACCATTGTTGTCCAAAAGCTGTTAAAACATGAACCCACTCAGTTACACTGGCTAACCTGTTTATTTTGACTCCATTCCAAATACTGTCCCATACTTAGTGCACCGAATGTGTATTAAAATAGTCGGGTAAATATGCAGTTAATTCCTATTTAAGCAGAGATGACAGCAGCCAGCTGTTTTCAGAAAGTTGCATAGCTTTAAAAAAAAAACAAAAAAACAATGAAACTCGATATCTGTGACCCAGATTTACATCTGTAGTCGTACCAGTGTGCTTGGAGCTGAGTGGCACTGACAGGTTAGGGATGTCAGAAGTTACTGAGACATGGACTAACACATTGTGGGTAGGGCTTTTCATGGTATTTGTTGGCGGCGAGTGAAATGTAGAGTAACACCAGGCCTATCCTTTGGTTATAATAAAATGTGTCAGCACAGAGGAATATTATATCAGAGCTAAAGCATTAGAGATGTAAAGGTTGAAAATTGTATTTGCTGCAAATACAGCACCTCACAGCTACACTAGAACCATGTCCTTTTATAGTGAGTTTGTTCATACCTATGGTTCTTTCATCCTAAGATGAACTTTGTACTCCACAGGTCTCTCCAGACAAGCCACAGTTGTGACACGTGGGTGGCTCTTGGATACAGTTGCAACCTACTCCCTTCAAAACTACAAAAACTACTCAGCATGAGCTGGGGAACCCACCAAGCCGTACATTGTCTTATTTGTCTCTCTTGACCCATTTTACAATGCCTGCTTTTAATGCCATCCACATGTTAAGATGAAAGCCCTGTGTATTCAATGTGCCTGGCGAGATGTATATAAAATGTAGAAGTTGCTCGAATTGAGTCTTTTTTGTTTATTATATATCACAGATATTAGTACATAGCCATCACGACAATCTACAACGAACATACTGTATATAATATATAAAAACACAATGCGCCTATATAAATTAACGTTATAATATCTATGCAAATCAGTTTTTTGGGGGTAAACATACATCTGAGGTAATCTGCTTTTGAGACCAGGCTAATTAGATGCTATACCTACAGCACAGTAAACCCTTTCACCATGCTCAATATCATTCACAGTATTCAATATCTGATGTCTCTTGTCAGGACTACTCTATTCATGCTGTATGAGCTCTTTGTTTTGCTTGTTCTCCAGTGTTCATACTAAGACTGTTGTTTGCAAACCACTGGTATAATGCCACTCTTTTGTGGGCATGATGGAAAGCCAGTGGGTTTCCTGAACACAGCCTGTGTGGTGCAACATGTTCTTCACAGAGTTTTCTTGAATAATTGAACAGCCTATGTGTGGGAATAAAGCAAGAGTGAGGTGAAATTTAGAGGAATGGACTACATAAGGGCACAAAAATGATTCCTCTGTGTGTAGCGTGTGCACGAGGTGCAGGCTTTCATGTAACCTTGAAGACTAAAAGTGCATATCAGATGATGCCATGTTAAAATATTGCTGTAGGAGATTGTAGCTGTAACACTTTTTCATGTGCAGTGATTTGTAGGGTAAAAGGTAGAATAATTGATATCCTCCTCTCTAAATGTGATGCTGTAGTAATTAGAGCTGCAAATCACTAATAATTAATTTACCTATTGAACTAAGGAGAGATGTGTTATATTTGCTTTTCAAGCAAATATCCTGTCAGTTGACTAGTTAATATTCACTTATTTGTTTGGGATCTAGTTGAAATTTTAGGTAGCCTCAATTATGCAGTGTGGTTTTTGTTTGCTCATGTGAATGATGTGTTTATGTGTGCATAGCATCTAAGTATAAATTAAATGAGGCTGTGCCACTAATTTGTAGAAGGATACAACCACAAGATTTGTCCATTTTACTCCACTGGCCACTGAATGTGAAATGTAATATCTAGCAGAATGAGCTTGTAGCAGTTGTGCCTTAAGGACATTAATCTACTTGAATTACTGCACCCTATATCAAGTCTATATGAATGTTGGCTTGATGGCCAAAGCGGTGATTATAACTTCTTATGCTTTTCTTAATATAGTGCTTAACGGTGGATACATGTGGTGAAGGAGAGGCGAGGCTCAAATCTACGCCCAGAGACATTATTTTCAAGACTTTATTTACCTGCGGAGTCCTTTTATTTAAACTCCAAAAGCCTGTTAATTAAATGCCATGGGAACATTATTTTTCATTTTTCCAGATATTAATATCGGTAACTGTTTTGTGACATTTAGTTGCAGGATAATTATAAATGCAGCTTTCACTGTCATTCGATGCTGTGACAACAAGAGATATAAAAAAACCAGGTGGTTGAAAAATAGAGAACGGACCCACACAAAACAGTAATGTCAGCACGTTTGCGCCGAGGCCTTTTAAATGCCAGATGTGCGGTGCCAGGACACTGTTTTCCTCCAGTCAGCTGATTTTCTAGTACTGAGCTGCAGCAGAGCATCCATTCAGCTCAGATTTTCTGTAAGGGAGACCGGGTTACAGTGTGACACAGCGTGGAGGCTGACTCAATGCAACACTGTTCGCTTTCTTTTACTGTTCAATTAACTGGTTTTAGCCTGAGTGACTTGATAATTTAAGGTTTGTGGCTTTTAGAAGGTCTAAACGTGATGTCCTTAGGTACAGTGGTGCTAACGTGATGTTTAGTAGCTCTTATTTTTGTCATGTTCACCACCTTAGATTCACGTTTGCTTGCTAATTAGTGCAAGACACAAGGTACAGCAGAAGCTGATAGAAATGTTAGTATTGATGAGACCTGTGTGAGTGTCTTGTAAGCCAAAGTATCAGACAGACAAATACAAATTTTGACTTGATAATTGCACAAGGTGAAAATTCAGGGGGAATGCTGTTATTAAAATCAATTCATAGTAATAAATTATACAATAAATGTCACCAAATACAAGTGATAGAGTAATTGTGAAGACATTAATATTCACCTGCTTTTTGTACAAGATGAAAATATCCAAATTCCTTAGGATTCTTCCGTGGGAATCGTGAATGTTTGAACCAAAAGTTATAACAATCCATTACTGAGTCATTTCACTAACAAACAAAAAAATGTCAGTCACATGATGCAGCTAGATTTCATGGAAAACCATTCAGTAGTTGCTGAGATTTTTCAGCCTGGACTAAATTGGTGGACCAGCCGACAGACGGACACTGACATGCCTAGAGTCCAGCCTCTACTGTGGCTAAACTTAGAAACTAAAACTTTTTAGTGACACATTTTAGTCACTTTATTAAGTCACATTAGTATCAGAGCCTGGTAGTCCAAAACAAGTGTCAACATGTCAGTAATTAGTGAAGGTATTTACAGAACGGGGAATAACCAGTTGAAATATAATTTGTTGGTCACAAGGTGCAGTTTTAGTGTGTGTGTAATGACAGTTCGTTAGAGCCTCTATTACTAACAGTGTTATGGCTGAATGTGTGAGCAGATCTTGTGGGAAAAGGTATGGTGGCTTGTTAGATGTGCACACTTTTTGAGCCTTTACGTAGACCGGGGTATTCCATCATGGCTGATAATTCTGTTCAGACGTTTCACAGGGGAAATTGGCACAAAGCAATCTGCTTGGCCATCTGGACTGCTTCTGTGTGCATGTTTGTTTGTGAAGCTGCACATCTGTGTGTATGCAAACATGTACAAGCAGACTGGCATTTGCTTCAGATGCTCGAGGGCAGTAATTTACCCCCCAGCTTAATTTGACATAAGTAGAGTGATCGTTCCTGATATTCACAGTGACACTGCAGCATGTGTTTACTTGGGATTGTTCTGCACCTCCTACAGGAGTTAAAACAGCAGTGACACACTGTGTTATCAGGGCAGAACAATCGCACACACCCCAGAAAGACCCAGATTTCAACTTGTCATTTGGCATTGGTGTAAATTCTTCAAGCAAATGTGCCAAAAATTCCCAGCATGTTTAATGTGGATTTGCTGCTTTTTGCTGTGTGTCTGTGTATTTTGGACTGTTTTTCAGAAAGTCAAGCTAACAGGCAGAGAAAAGGCTCTGGGAGACATGAATGGAGATTTTTTGCTACAAGTAATTGAAAAACAACTCATCAAATGTATTGGTAATGGAAGTAATCCTTAGTTGAAGCCCTACATTTCAACTAGTAGAGTGTATTTTCTTGTTTGGATTACTCAGCAAGGTGGAATTGCCAAAACTGACCCCATGATAGTCTTTATTCCACATCCTGTAATACCCCCAAAAGGATAAGTAGATATTTACTGGGTTAGACAGAGGTTCGGTCAGAAGATTAAATCAAGATTTGTTTGGAGCCGAGATGAACCAACAGACAACAGTTAACCTCTAACACACCCGTTGTTACTAAGAATGTAGTCCCCAGTGTCATCTTTACTTATTGATTAATGACTTTAATTCAGCTAATTAAATATTTTAGATTGTGTGCACACTGCATACGTGTCCATGTGAGCTCCATTTAGTCAAGCAGCTGTGAATTATGAGTGCACTTGTCCATCATGACCCTGGCTGTTCTCACACATTGTGGCTGTGATTCTCATTAGTTGCTAGCCTGAAGCCTCCCGGAGTGTTTTAACAGTATTTTGGTCACACCCCTTGTCAAAAACCTAAGCGCTGTCTACAAGTGTTTCTTCAATAAAGTCCTTAAAGCTATTTCATAAACAGGGAAACTATTTCAAAAACTAACATGTTTGGTATTGTTGCAAAGTCCAAACTGCAAACCTTTGGTCTCTGGTAGAAAGAAGGACACAGATTTAACATAGTTAGGATGAACTGGTTCTCTAATGAATCAGGCCATCGGTTTGAGCTTTGTTCACACTTAGTTAAATTTGAAAGAGTTCTACTGTAATAAAAATCTAATTTTAGGAGCATCACCTTTTTATTATGTGTGTGTGTGTGTGTGTGTGTGTGTGTGTGTGTGTGTGTGTGTGTGTGTGTGTGTGTGTGTGTGTGTGTGCTGTATGTGCATCAGCATTCTGTTTTGTCAACATATTTCTCCTGGTCTTCATGCTAAAAAGGTGCTGCCTTCATTGTTGCGCAAAGAGAAGCCCTACCCCTCATGGACACAGTGCACATATATTTTTAATCTGCTCAATTTTGCATAGTGTTTAAATGGGGTTTGAATTTTTAATGACTTGCTCTTTCCTACTGGCTCTGCAACCATTATTCTGGCATTGCTATTGTGTTGCTTGAATTGGGTGGTTGATGCTTGTTGCAAGCCTTATTACCCTGAATTTCCTTTCCTTGTGAAGTTAAAAATAGTGATTTGAGTAAAGCTGAACTGATATTCGAGCAGTGCTGTCAGCCATCTTCCACCCTCAGAGCATTAGCCTCTAGTTATATGGCTACTGACACCATGCAAGCAGGAAGAGCATTAAAGATGCAGAAGGGTTGAGCATCGGTGGTCACTGATCAGTACTACTTTATAGTGGAATTAAAATGAATAATGGACCCTCTGCATAGTGTGTTTGTGTCAAGATTATGGTGCATATAATAATGTGGATATGCAATACATCTAGATATACTGTATTCCTGTCTCAATTACTGCCTGAACAAACTTCCATCTTTTTGCAGAAAAACCATAATGACTTTTTCTTGATGGGATTATATGTGAACCTTTCACATGACCCTATGTGAGTTCACATTATTTTATATGTGGTTGGCTCATCTCACAAGAGATGTATAATGCAGGTCTCAGTTTAGGACCTGTTGATGCTTCTCTGTAAAACATTCACTTCGCATTTCAGATTAGACAGTTAAATAAAAAAACCACAAGGCTCTGAATCCCGAGGAACAGGACTGAGAACCGCATCTAGTTGTTGTTGGCATTGTTCTCTTACCTGTGAATAGTACTAAGCCCTGCTGAAACCAGAATTACTGAAGTATCCTTGAGAAAGCTGAGCCTACCGCCTAACCACAGGCAAAAAGACAATTGGCCCCCAGGAGGAATAAGACCAATGAATTACGGACATTCAAGAGCCTTTATTTTAAAGATGATTCTGCACATTTCATTTATGAGGTACAAGGTTACAAGACATTTGCTGCATGTACCATATACTGACTTACTTTTTGCTTTCAAAAATAATGGCATGTAGTTGTAGACTTGCACACAGTTTTTCAAGCTACTGTAGGTTGTTAAAGAATCATGAAGCTCTTGCAACCATTCATCTGTGGATTTAGGCATTCTCAGTGTTGTCTGTCTCTTCATGTATTCCCAGGCTGACTGTAAGAGATCAGCACTGTGTGGGGACCACACTATCTACTGCAGGACTTACTGTTCTCCTTGTTATTGACGATAGATCTATATGGCTCTGGTTGTATGTTTGGGGTCGTTGTCATGCTGCAGAATGAGTTTGGGATCTGACGTCTCCCTGCTGGCACAGCACCTCAGTATATCACTTGATTCTGTCTTATCACATTCTGTCTTCTAAAATTGCTTTGCATGATGAGATTTTATTTTTCTCCCCTTTTACATTCAGATTGAGGCATGTGGCTCTACTTGCCTGGCTGATATTTTCAGTCGAATATTTTCATGCTTCATCGAGCAGAATCGCACCTGAAACAGGCAGAATTTTTAGCCATAGCAAAACGGTCACTTTGGTAAAATGTCAGAAATATCTCAACAGCTGTTTAATGAGTTGAAATGACATTTTTATCAGGCACCCCAGAGGATGGAGCCTCCTTACTCCAGAGATCCCTTGACTTTGCCTGTAGGGGGCGACTGTGGTTCAGTGGGTAGAGCAGTCGTTTCCCAACCGGAGGGTTGGAAGGTTCGAATCTCGGTGCCTGCAGTCCACGTGTCAAAGTGTCCTTGGACAAGACACTGAACCCCCAAGTTGTCCCCAATGGTAAAAGCCACCGAGTGAGTTGGCGCCAGGGATGGCTGCCTCGGTTCTGTACCGGAAACCAATTCCTTGTACTTGGCCAAATAAAGGTGGTTATCCTTATTATCCTAGTGGCACAGTGGTTGGATTTTGGGGAAATATTTTAACAAAGTACACCCGAGACTGATGGGAATCTCAATCTTAAACCAAAGTAATGGAACACCACCAAAGTCGGTATGAATCATCCTTTGAGAACCATGTATCTCCTGGTCACTGTCTTGCTGATGCTCAGTGCGCTTCCTTTGCTGGCTCCTTACAGTAGGTTTGTCTTCACTAAAATAGCCCCATCCTTCCATCAGTATTTTAAATCGTCTTATTCTGGACAGTGAAGTGATGTCAGCCACCACTCTTCTGTCGTTGACCATAAACTTTTCAACAATGATGCCGCATCAACTGCTTATGAGGTTCATCATCCTCTTCTGTTTGCTTTTGCATTGCTTCTCCACTTTCCATCTTTTATTCTTTTATCCTGTCACTGGAATGTTTTCAGTGTCAGCTGCTTTTATGCCAGGAACTGCATTATATTCTACTCACTGGAAGTGCCTCAGACTAAGAGTGTTTCCATCTTAAGAGCTTTTTCCATCTTATTTGAACTGACCACTGTAATTTTGAAGACACTTGGTTGTACTCTGGTGATAATAGCGATGTGGAAACATTGCTTGTACACAGAAAGATGTTGGAATGTCATAGATGAGGCTGCTTGGACAAGAGGGAAGAGTGTTTGCCAAATACAGTATGTTTGCTTACTTCAGCTGAAGACTTGTAAAGACTGCAAAGCGGCATCTTTCATCTTTCACATTTATGGTAGCATGAACAAACATTTCTTCCACCAAGGCAGAGGCTGGGCCAGTGCCTTAGGCTGACGTCGCTGTCTTCTGCAAACTTCTGATCCATCAAAGAGCTGCAGCATGCAGAAATAATGTAGAGTATCAGAGTTGTAAGATGGAAATTCATGTCTAATTAGGTCATATTATGTCAGTACAGCTAGCCAGCCGGTTTAGTTTTTTTTATGATAATAGAGAACAAGTCTTACTTTGTACATAGATAGTAAACTTACATTTAATGCCTTATAGTCAAGAAGAAGCATAATCTATTACTCTGTCCAGCTGTTATTAACCACCACTAGCACTTGAGATTAAATTATTATGTAGAAGGCCAAACCCCAGCAACACTTGCAATATGTTGAACAACTTTTTTGTTGAACTAGCGCATTGCAGCTTTTGGCCTTCATCAAGGTATTTATTATGTAGACATTGTCATATGCTGTATATATGCAGGATTGTTACTCTATCTCCATCTGTATGAACGTTCTCTCCACCCTGACTGCATGTCTGCCCTGGTCTTGCCTAAGGCGTATGGCGTGACCTCACACTCCCTGCACGCCAACATGGCAGCAGTACTGTGAAATGTCACTTTGCCATTGCTCATAGTGGCAGTGAGTTGCTGCAGAGCCTTGTGGAACAAAGGTCACTGTTAAAGGCCACACTACAAGGCTCATGAATACAGCCCAGAACAGCTGTATTCATTTTATTAACAGGAGTATACTGTATATTCATACTATGTATGATGTTGCTAAATAGTTTTAAAGTATTTTAACAAATGTGAAAATAATGCCAGTATGAAAATCAATGTTATTCTCATGATCAAAAAATAAATAAATTCACCCACTATACCAAATGTAAGGTAATTTTACTGCACCTTATAAATAGATTATTTGGAAGTCATCAGTATAACTATTATGGTGAGAAAAACTATGTAAAAATGTAATTAACTGCTTCCTCGGTTCACACAAATGTAGCAGACATTGCGGTCTGTCTTAATTTAAGAGGATTACAGTTAATTAATTATGTTTTCTTTAAAAAGGATTTGCTAGCTGCTGTATGTGCAGCTAACTTGCTGCCGCCATTAAAACTCTCAAAAGGCTTTCACATTTTTCACTCATGTGGCAGTACTCCACAAGACCTGTAAATGTGTTTTGATGTGTAAATGAAAGGAATTACCCTTTTAGTGTCAGCCAGTGCAGGCTCAGTGTTAGATTTTTTTTTTTTATTACAGTGCAATGACTTGTGTAGGCCGCATTATAAAACTTATCTTAAAATTCTTGTCTATTGGTTGATCAATCCAACACTTTGGTCCAGAATGGAAAACTGTTGGCTTGGATTGCCTTTAAATTTGGTCAGACTGTGGTCCCCACACAATGAATTTTAATAACTCTGGTGACACAATACCTTGACATTTCATTTAACCATCATCAACTTAACATTTAAATTTACCCAGTACTTTGGTTTATGACCAAATACCTGGAAAATACATCCTTAATTGGGCTTGTGTTCAGTGCTAAGTGTCAGAATTTACTAAAATACCAAATTACTGTGGTGAATAAAATCAGTGGTATACCTGGTAAACATTAGCATATTAGCACTGTCATAATGAGCATGTCAGCATGCTGACATTTAGCTTGAGGCACCACTGTGCCTAAATACAGCCTCACATACAGCAGCTGCTAGGGTGACTGTAGACTAACAAGATGATGGACATGTAGGATTCAAACATTTTAAGGGTGTTGCTGTTTACTATTGCTGTACCTGTACTATTTGCCATTTAATGTTGTAGACAGGCTGCCTTTCTACATAATGCATGGATTTTTTTTTCTTTTTGGGGGGGGGGGATTTTGTTTGTTTGTTTTGCAGATAGGTTTCTGTTTGTTGTCAGCTACTTCTGTGCTGTTTATTCAATTTCTGAGTCTGGTTCAAGGGAAAAGTTAAACTTCCCTTAAATGCAAAAGTAGGATGGATGAAAGATTTCCTATTCATATGCTTAACTTTTCTAAGTATAATAACTCACATTCAAGACCAAACAACAGTCGAACAAATTAAGTTACATATTAAAAATGTTCCAATACTCAGTTTTTTATATATATGTTTTTTATTATCACATGTACAACATACCAGTCACACTTTTAACTCCCTCTGTGACTTTTCTTTCCACTGTGCATTATTAGAATGGCATAAGTTTCACAACACTTGATTATTATGTGGTAAGTGATTATTTAGTTTTCAGTTTTCAATAGTAAAAGCACTTGTGGTTTAAGAAAATTAGTGTCATCGAGTTTAGTGCCCACGAATATTTTTGTCTGCCCAGATTTTCTTTTCAACTTGTCATATGAAGTGGAACAAACGAGTTAATTCCCTGACATTTATGAATTCAGAACAGTTTACGTGCATCATATTGTGCTTCAATTACTTAAACAGTTAAAGAGAGAATAGCATTTCAAAACATAACACAACATAATAAAGGTCACATCCAGCACTGTTACCGCAAGTGATCTTTCATGTTCTCTTTTCCCTTTCTCGCTTTTTTTTTTGTTTTTATGTGTTATTGTTAATCAGCCTGTTTGTGTCCATGAACATTTTTGTCCATTTGTCCATATGTGTTAAATAAAAATAGCTTTGCCACTACAATGGCCTTCGTTGATGAAAACACAGCCACAGAGAAGAATTACAAGGAGAGTTTTGCTAAACATGGACAAACAATCCCTCAAAGAGCTCCACAGGACAGCATTCCTTCTTGAATTCATCACATTGTCCTTTATGCAGTGCAAAGATTTGAAAATAATTCACCATTAAATTAAGTTCATGTGCAGTATGTTCTCATGTTCATTAGCGCACACAGATTAGGTCGCTGGTAGACTCCGGTCCTACATGAGCACGCAGCTTTTGGCTCGGTCCTTTCTAATGGCAGGTGGGTGCTCATGAATCTCAGTCCGAGGTGGCTGCTGGGAGACTCTCTTGACTCCCCGACGCGAACCAGCACGCTTGAGCTGAGGTCGATGGATGCGGGTCACAGACGCCAGGGTGGTGACATGGAATACATCACGAACGCTGTTCTCCGAATACTTGGAGGTACACTCTGCATAGGCCACGGCCCCGATCTGCCTCGCCAAATTAGTGCCCTGAAAACAGAACAGTACAAAATGTTAGTCTGTTAAGATATTTAAAAAAAAGTTTAAACTTAAAGATGCAGTTATTTTCATGGGCAGCAGAACAAACTATAAACATAGCATTGATACATGATCAGTTCTTCTAAAGTTGTTGTGGCCTGCCTCTTAGCAAACATTGCCTATGTACATCATGGATGTATTAAAGGAGAGGAGAGCTGGATACAGTATTACTAGATGGCCCCTATTCATTCCTATGAAGGTTACTCAGTGGAACATGATCTAAAAAGATCGCCATGCTTCCAGCCCTAAAAATTACCCAGATGATTCATACTGTTCTGCGTTTTTGGGCCCATTGAGCATGTGCACTTGTGCTGAGTTTCCTGCCAGACAAGTCAGGTGACTTCTAGTTGGCTCCACGCACACAAAATAACTTATGGCTAAGCTAGAGTTTCCAAATGATGTTGGACCCAATGAACCAAATTCTGATAATAAAAAGAGTTGTTTCTTGGAGTTTGTGACACTTGGGAAAATGTATTTACCTTTTTACACCAGCCCTTTTATAGTGATTCTCTATAGGAAAAATGCTTTTTCTGCCATTGTGCATCACACTAATAATGTGGAAGTTGTAGTAACGCAGTTTGGCCTCTATGCCAGATTTGCTTCACAGCCCAGCACTGTTGCTCGGGGCTTGATTTACATGTGTAGCAGACATGATGCAGCATTAGCATTCATTTGGAGCAAATCTAAGTTCAATAGTCACTTTCCTTTTAACTCCGTTGGTCACTGCTATCTCCTAAAGAAAAAGTATGTGGCTAGTCACCAACTTGTTGCTAACTGTCTGCCTTTAGTTTGAATTGTGATTTTTCCGATTTTTTGCCCACAGGTTCTTCAGCAAAAACAACCTGATGGCTTGATGAGGCCAGTGAGACCGAACCAAAACATTACAGAAAACTGAGACATTGACTTCAAATATGTTAAATCCCTTCATAAAGCTGAGAGGAACTGCAGAGTCGAGTGATAATTCATCACTGCATGTGCCCCCTTTCATATTACATGTAGTTATTTCTGTAAAAATAATTACTAGTGCAGCTTTAAAATTCAAATGTGTATGTGTGAGAGACAAGGCTGTCTTTCACACACAGGGAGCGGTGGTGTAAATGATCCTTTTTTGCATTCTTCATATGTTGTTAAAACATGTTGAACCTCTGGATTATTTGAGTCTGTGGAAAACCTCAATTCACTGACTTTGGTCATAAATGCAAACAGTGCATTTTTTCACACTCTAGAATAGGTTTATTCTTATCACCATGAACATGTCACATACTGTTACATTATCATCAACTTGCTTTGTGCAAATCAGATTATTGTGTTTGGTCATGTACTGTAATAAAACCCTATACTCTCAAAAACATGGTAGCTAGCTGGGACATACAGAAGCTAAGATCCTCCACATACCTATGAAATATTCAAGGCTTATCTGTGCAACTGTAAGACTGCAGTGTAAAAGCCCAGCTTATTCCCAGTAGTGGTTAGCACCATCTTAAATCTGGACTGGTTGTATATTGTTTGCTCATTTGGCTTATACTGTACCTGTTCTCCAGCAGCACTGAATCTGTGTGCCTGAGTGTATGTTAAAATAGGAAAGGGGGAACTTTGATGTCATTTTGATTTTGCTGATCCTTCTTTGTTTTTATTTTACTCTACTATCTCTCATATTTCTGGGTTTATTTTAGTCTCATTTGTGTCATCATTTGGATTCAGCAACTTTGTCAATGAAACAGCTGCACCGTGACAGCGTAGGTGTTGAACCATCAGTGTTAGAAATATGTCATACTAAAGAAGTATCTCGCTGTCAGAGGCGGCAATATTATTCCTTCTGTGTGAAAAACAGATCCGATCACAGCACTAGTCACGCATTTCAGTCTGGTGAATGCACTTCTGGGAGTCACCTGAGTTGTTCACGTGACTGCCATGTAAAGAACCCAGTTTTTGGCCATTTGCAATGCACCTCTTTAAATGGGGCTCCCAGAGAAAAGCTCTTTGGTTCACACCACATGTTAAAGTACAAGTCCAGCCACTTGTCCACCTGTGCTCTGTTTTCCATCATATGGATCATCATCTATTCAGCCTCAAGCCTTTTTTTCCACAGTTGATTGTTCATTCCTTCTACACATTTAGGTGACAATAGGTAGATTTTCTACAGCTTCAATGTGGCCTTTGGTCAACAGTATTGTGGAACACCCCTTTTCCACTGTAAGCATCCAGAGTGGATTAAGAAGGAGAGTGACAACATCTTTGCTGACTCTGTAAGGGCCCTTTTTATACAGTAATGGTGGATTATGGGAATGTGGAATAATTCCAAACATTAGGAGCAGCACCACTGACTTGGCCGCTATCTTCAAAAGTAAAAGGTTGAAATCACTAGCAGTAATTATACTTGTTCTCTACCAAAAATAATGGATCTGAATGGACTGGTTTAATCGAAGGCTTTGGTGAACTTGGAGCTAAACCAGTGTATGCAGAGAAACTAATCTAAGATCTTGATGGGCCAATTTTGATGCCATTACCGACAGGACAATGAAGGTAACAACTTTTGCCTTGTCTGTGGTATGAGAAATATTAATTTGTTGACAAAAGGCTGCCAAGAAGTGGGAATACACATTTACATGAAAATAGGCTATTAAAATTCATGCATGCCACTGTTCATCGCTCCAAGACACAAACAAAACAATTGTATTATCACACATCCTGCTGTTTGTCTCTTCCTTTGTTCAGTCCCAGCCCTTTTATAATCCTTGTGTTTCCACATTTGTGGAAGTTATGATCTGAAGCAAATGTCATTCTCTGAATTCAATTTGAGAAGTTTTGTTTATGTGCACAAGGGAACAAAGTAATGGGTGTCATTTGTTTGGGATGATACTATTAAATTTGTAAGTAATTTAGTGTTACTATAGGCAAATGAAAACTGCTGCAGTGGAAAATTACAGAGGACTGTACGTTTAAACCCATATGACATACATGTTTGTATATTATAATGCAGAATGAATTAAATAAAGTCTGGACAGTTCTTCACATATTTGTTGTTAGGCTATGGAAACAGGAAGAGCAGTTCATTGTGAGCTAGGTTTGACACAGCCGATTGTCACAGGTACAGGGCAGCAACGGTAATGAATTCAAAGAAAACAATACAGTTTTTTCTGTACTTCTCACCTGTTCATGGGTGACAGGAATGAGTCTGTGTTTGGAAAGCTCTCTCATGACGTTGAGGTCCGTCCTCATGTCCAACTTGCAGCCAACCAGCACCACTTTGGCATTGGGGCAGAACTCCTGTGTCTCACCTTGCCACTGTGTATTAAAACATAAATACATTCTCAGTGCCTGGGTCCCTTATAAGTTAAATACTTATTGAACTGAGGATAATACGCTATAGGGTCAACTATATGTGGAACTTTTAATTCATATGTTGCTGCATCTCATTCCAAACCATGGGCATTAATAGGCTGCTACTGTATATTAGAACCTTTTATTACGTTCGGTGTAGGCGCCAGGTTTTATGTTATGTGTTGTTTTATTTTATTCTTGTATTTTGTGAATGTGTCAAGGATGTCATTGGATCTGACTGCAAGACAAATTTACCTACGGAAATAAATAAAGTAACCTAACCTAACCTAATCTATTTACCTCTGAAGTTTTCCGCAAGCAAATACTGAAAAAAGTGGATTTTTGTGGCACCCCAGCCATAATAATTGGCAGCAGTATGATTCCCAGTCATCATTATAACGTTGAAATATGTACTTTAATCATTTATTTTAATGATTTATTTTACAACACAAACACAGTTTCTAATGATATCGTCATGATGAATTGAAATTCTAAAAAAAATGCTAATATATGTTAGTGTGACGTTGTTACAAGAAAACAATCAAATTCCATACAAATTTGTGCAAACCTTAAAGGACCGTGCCACTGTTTTTTGCATATCTTTACCGCCTTGTTAAGTTTTGTAATTCTAAATCTGTAATTCTTTGGAAGAACACCGGTGTAGTCCTTGAGGCCGTTAGCTCCGGACCTGCTACACATTACATCCTAAAACAATGCTTTGACATGATGAATATGGCAACTGGCCTCAACAGACCACAGTATAAGAGATGAAACTCAGATATTGGAACAGCACAGCTCATAGCTGTTTTGTTAGTGACAGCATGAGCTTACAACATCATGATCTTCATGGTCATAAATGCCGGAAGAAGACAGAGAAGCAGAGACAGACAATATTCGTTACAGACCACAGACATGACTCACACTACTGAACTCTTTCTGTCGTTCTCTTTCTCTCTGAGACTCCTTTCATTATCTCCTCACACCATGGCACAGGCAACCATTTTGAGCACTGTTGCCCCAATTGTTCTCCCTCACAAAGAGATCTTTACTCCCGGATGCCTGTGTTGCTTCTCCATAGTGTTGTGCTGTTGTGCAGAGTGAGCTGTTGCCTTGCAATAGTCCTCTCCAGTGAACAGTGTGCAACTGGTGAATACCAGCAATTTAGATGAGTCACAGAGCACACAAGAGTGGCTTATTGTTTGTGTAAATGTTAAGAATTGGTGAGACATTGTCCCAGATAAAGAGCAGAACGCAATCTGTCAGAGCAGAGTGTCTGGTTATTAAAGTATGAAAATTGAGACTGAGTGTTTTCAGTAACTTTAGCTGACAATTCAGTTTAAAAATATACACTCACCAGCCACTTTATTAGTTACACCTTTACAACTGTGTGCAATTCAATGTAATGCTTTCACCTTAACATCACTGCAATTTCAGGCTGTTAGGGGCTGCACCACTTTGGTCCCGACTGAAATGCTGGATAGATTTGCAGCAAAGTTTTGTGCTTCCTGGGGAGTGAATCCTACTGACTTTGCTGATCCCGTGACTTTTCCTATAGCACACCATGAAATTAACTAATTTGGTTACAGTATAAGTGAGATGTCTGTGGAATGGATTGTCATTACATTTGGTGCATTCAAGTTCCACTCAGGATGGCTTGTAGTAGCTTTGGTGATCTCTTGTCTGTTTTGCTAGAACCACATTTAGTCATGGTTCACTGCTAAATGCTACTCACATTTAATGATATTCCCACCAGCCTCAGCTGTACTTTTTGTTTAGTGCCAATTAGCATGCTAACATGCAAACACTGTACCTGCATATACCATCAGCATATACAGTAAGCATTGCCATCAGCCAGGTGTTTGTGCAGTCTGCCAATCCCCTGATACCGTGCTTATAGTGTAGCTGGGCAGAGATTGAGATAATATCTTAGACTGAGTAATGCTAGATGAGAGAGATATTCAGAAAGCCTATCATGGGAGGTTTGAATGAACGTTTGAAGAGAGATTGGGTTTAAGGGAACAAAGGATACAAAAAGGAAGAAGGAAGTGATAAGGATTCAAGAGGTGTTTTTGCAGCTTAGCAATACTGGGAAAGAATAGTTCCTCTAAAAGGAAAATTGGAGGGCACAGAAAGTGATTAGGCTGTCAGAAATGGCAGAAGAAAAAGTGCCATGTACTGCAAGGGTGTTATTTAAGAATGGAAGCTTGCAGATGGAAAATACACACCAGAGTAAATGGAAACAAGACATGATAGCACATTCCCATACTTAAGCAAAAATAAATTAGATGATTGGAGGTAACTTGAGGATAAGTTGCCTTTGTTTTGCCTTTAAACTTTGACTAGAGAAACGAACCCCTCAACATGTCACTCTGGCATCCTATGCATGCATTGTGAGATCAGTATATTCACCAGCATTACCAAGGTCATTTAATAAGGTCAAAGTTAGTTTTCAAGTGGACCCCCTGTCGCTGTGAGAATTTGTCCACCATAAAAGATAAGTGTATTGATGATGTCAGTGATGAGTGATGGCGGTGACTGCAGGAATGTGTGCAGACTGAAAGGAGGTCAAACACATGATTCTCAGCATTCACACATATTATTTGGTAGTGGAAATTCAGAGCTAATGATCGAAAACTAATGCTAGATAAGCTTGAAAATACTAGAACCTTACAAAGCTGCTGTGTTGTCTACTGTCCTGATAAGAGGCAAAATGTACCTTGAAAACTTTCTTAGCTATATTAGAAAAAAACTTTAGAGGACACAGTGCCACTTCTATTAAAGTTACTGACCTTTTTCAGGACACTATCCAGTGTCTCCGGGCGGCTGATATCAAAGCAGATGAGTACAGCATCTGCGTCAGGATAAGCCAACGGCCGTACATTGTCATAATATGCTGAACCTGTGGGCAAAAAAAATACACAGACATTACAACATTTCCAGGTGGATTATATGTAATTTATCTACATTGCTGAAGAGTTAACTTTTATTTTTTTCAGAGTGAGTCATTACAGAGCACCTCTAGCAGTAATAACTGTGATTAAATGTAATTACCATGCACATACTGAAGCCACTCTGCAGATGACAGTGAGTGGGTGTGATTTGTTACGAACAGAGGGGTCTCGTCTACAACCCCTGGTCTGTTTGTCTGACACTCTTGAATAAGCCAACAGACAGACACGTGACAATGATATAATGAATCGCTCAGACAAAGAAAGCATTACCAGGTATTTCAGAATGGCATGCTTTTTTTTGCCAGGGGCCCAGACTGAATTGAGCATTGTGACCCAGGCAGGGGACACATTCCTGTCCAGAGGGGGACAGAATTCCCTCTCTGTGTCCCTCATTGTCTCCATCCCTATGGCTTTTGTCACCATAAACCAGGCTTTGGCAACTTAACAAAAATGTGTTTGACAGAAAATTCCCACAAAACCTTGAATGTGAATCAATGATACACATACTATAGAGCACAAATGCAAAAGCCCAGTTTATATTGATTACATCTCAAACATATAGGCTATTTTCAAAATAACACAAATTTTAATTAAAAAAATTAGTTAAGCAATCTCTCATTTCTTTTTAATAAAAGTATATCCTAAGCTGTTATCTTAGTAGGATGGGACGTCATTTCCAGAGACACATAAGTATTTTTACAAGTACAGCAGAACTACGTATATATGCTAGAGTTGTGCAGCGTAATGGCTTTTGTTCAGCTGCTATCATTAGATGCCGATGATTGCAAAATGCTTAAACAAAAGACGCATTTGCCCATACACCCAAGATTATTATATGAACAGAGACAACCAACCTAAGATATAAGCCAGTTGCTTTCAATTTTTACATTTATCTGTCCTTGAATGCAACAAGTGGATGTCATCACAGGAATCAATACCAGTAAATACACCAATATAAACTGCTTAAATTAACAGCATATTATTCTCATTATTAATGTTAATATTAATTCAGGGAGAAATGTTTCTTCTTATTTTTGCTCAATTAATAATTTATATAATTGGTCAAGAAATTTAGACCCTGGAAACATAAGTTTAACACTAAAATCTAAACTCAAGGTCCACGTACTAGGTTTTTACATAGCTTTCAACCTCATATCAGGGTTTTCGTCACCAGGTCCAATTTGAACAGAGACAGATCAAAGTTCCATGTGGTAATAAATGCTCAGCATGTACATGATAATTAGTAAAACACCATCAGCTGAGGAGGAGTGAAAAAAGTGACTGAAAGCCCTGGAAAAAGTGAATAAGTGAACCTTGAGTTCCTTTTTTTTTTCAAATATTTTTCATTTATTTTGTTGTGAGAAAGGCTGAAAAGCACCTGGTATAAAATGTGAATGAACAAAGCTTTTTAACTCAGATTACTGGCCCCTTTTTGTTAGAGTATAAAACCATCTGATCAAGACAGTTACATTCCTCCCAAACTTCCCGAGGCAACAGGAGTAAACAAAAAAGAAAAAAAAAAAAGCATGGCAAAATAATAACATAATGAAACTCCATTATGCTTTAATGCAATTTTAGAAAGCCATTTCTTGCTAGTTCTTTTACATTTTTTCCCAAGCAGAAATAATGAAAGTGGAAATCTATTCTCCATTATAAATGTTACGTTGATTGTAGACAGCAACATGGCTCGGAAATTAGCTCATGAATATTTTCAAATAAACTGATTTGCGAGTAGCTGTCCAGGGTGCTGATCCCAGTTTGCAACTGTCAGTGCAAGGGAACAACATCTCCCATGAGCAGGCAACCAGAGATCACTCTGTCCTATCTAATCCAGCTGAGTACAGCCCTTTCTTTAGAATGTTTACCCTTTGGACAGACTGCCCAATAAGACAACACGAGCTGTTTATTTAGCAGCATGTTTATTGAGTTTAGGTGATTGCCGCTCTCTGGTGTATTCACTTAGTTGGTACTCCTTCAACAGTAATTTAGTTGTTTATTGTTCTGCCAAGTCCTCCTCTATTTGGTCTTCCTGCCCCTGCAAGAATAAACAAGACTGAGACCCTCCTGAGATTCAAGTCTCTCTGTTCCCCTCATCGGTGGTTCCAAAAACAGATAGAGATAGAGATAGAGATAGCTCTTCAACGGATCGCAGTCAGCAGTACCCTTTCAGAATCTAGGGTCTGAGGTTATAATGACTATTTCACTTTCATGATAATTATAGTATACTTCATATGTCCCTTAGGAAATCTGGAAATCACTCATACTTACAAAATGTATTCAGATTCACTATGCCTGATAAAATGGCTATTAGTACAATCTGGGACGCTGGCAGTGTTTGCTTGACTCGTCATAAAAAGCATAAATTCGAGGTCAGACACACAAACAGACTGCAAGCCTCAAAGTTCATGATGACAACTAATCTATGGTCAGCACTCAAGCTGCAGCTAATGTGTATTGATCTGCAAGCTTTTTTGACCCTCTCTGGGACTTGTAGTATGATGCCCCTCATGGGAAGGCTCCTGCTGTTGTAGCAACAACTCAAAGAAACTTAAGTCCATCTGTCTCTGTCTTAAAACTCTCATCAAGAACAAGCTCATAAGAGATAATCACTGCTTGAATTAAGGACAACATGAGTGTCCTTTACTTCAGTAGATCATAAAGAATAACATTTCAGTTTGATATTTACTTGTTTTTTGAAATATTTATAGTCAGAAACAGTAGTTTCACATAAAAGGAGCCAATGAAACAGTCAACTGTTTTAAATGTGCCTCTGCTGCACAGTGTTTGGCAGATGACGCACAACAGTCTGGCAAACAGCAACACCACGCTGTGACTCCACATGGGGTTGTCATGCTTTTGTTGTGTGATGCTTACAAAAAGCTGTGTTTCCTTTTTTTTCGCTATCCATTTGGTTGCTTCCAGCAACACAATTGTAAGCATTTACTGCCCCTGTTCTCTTGCCGTTTCATGTAATCCACTTATGTGCTCTTTTTGATGGCTATCTGGCTTATATTGTGTGGCTGCTTAGAGAGGTTGATCCTTCCTAAATGACTCGTGCAGTGTCTGGATGATATCTTTCTTAGTGTGACACATAAAGCTCGACCAAATTTGTCAAACACTGGGAATCTGTCACCAACCAGAATTTCCTCCCATCAAAATTTCAATAAGTAAATCCTCTGTATCCCTCATAATTACACTAAGAATAGCTAAAGCAATCTCTGCCATGTCATCAGATGGTGAACAAAAAAGTCAGCTCAAGCTCCAGATTTTATATCTGCACATACTATAACTGACAAGAAAAACAAGAAAGGACATGTCATGTACTAAAAGACTAGGGATGTAATAATATTTGTGTTTTCATGATATCGCGATATCGCGATAATGTCGTGGGACTTTGGCGGTATTTACATATGGGTATTTTGTTAGTATAACTGTGTGCTGGCCACAGAATTTGAAACTTACATGATCCATCATCAATGTTTAGAACCGTTGTGTGGCAACATTTCAGTTTTTCCTTTTCAAGCAATGACAATTTGCAAATACTGTCGGATGAAGGCAATACTATCCCCATCTAGGACCGGGGCAGGGCAGCCCTGGATACATCTCACAGAAACAGTCAGGACATGACATTATTTTATTTTGTCTCATAAAAGGACTGCTACTGAGTGCTGCGTTATCTTTTTAGCTTACATTACACAAAACGCTGATTTACACTTTAGTAAGGGGCTTTTTTTTCTTAATTTTTTTTTTTATATCATGATAAACTTTGTATCATGGACTTTTTATTGTGACAATATCGTACCGTGAGTTTTTGGTATCGTTACATCCCTAAAGAAAGACATACAATTATTTATTGTTACAGAGATAAATGCGTATCGTTAATACAACTATGCCCAGCCTGCCTGAGCTCACAGAACCAGAATCAGTGATAGGTTTCTTAATGAACAACCATTAATGAGCCCCACCAGGCAGGTTTTTTAATTATGAAATGAATGAAGGAATATTATCTATTCTTTGTTAAATATGGTAAATCTTGTTAGTGATTTTTAATACTCTGGAGATATCTCCTTTTCTCATTTGTCTCATTTCATTATTAAACATCCACTGGCTGTTGTATTTTGGGAAATTGCTTAGTCAAGCTCAAAGCTGTGAAGTGACTGATAAGAGGAGACAATCAAACTGCATGTTGTATATTTCAGTATTCATAGTGCTGCATGACTAAGAAGAAACACATTCGTACCTGGAGATATTTGTGCAGAAAGCCATTAGACTCCACTTTTAGGACATTTTTGTCTGCCAGCTTCCATCATGGCACAGTAATGTTCATTAATATTAAAATCCTGTTTGTCCCAGTCATGCCCTTCTGAAGAAATAGGGCGTTTTTTGGGTTTTCATCCACGTCTAAATGCCTGAAATATATCCAGAGAGGAAACGGCAGTAAAAAATTTATGCTATTGATTAATGTATTTTTCTGCCACTGTCTGAATATATAAATAATGCTGCCCTTGGAGATTAAGCATCACTACCACACACCGGTGCTGTGTGACAATACAACTGTCTGGTAAATAGCTGAAGAGAAATCAACCTGTGTGGTCAAATGATTATCATACAGTAATAGAATCCACTCAGTAGACACACACAAACACACTCACTCAGTGTGGCTAATCACTTTGAGGTACCCTGCAGAGCAGGAAATGTGCTGCTCTGCCTCTCTCTGGCTGTAAAGAATTGCATTCAAATTTCATTTCCCCATTGTCGCATCCAAACACAGAGCAAAAAAGATCCGATTATTTAATGTTTCACTTGTTGATTTAATAATTCATCTATACAGTGTGTCTATTAAGCACTTAAGTATCATGATGGCTAGTCCCAGTGGAACTAAAACTTTAAATTTAAAGGGGAACTTCACCAATGTTACACATGGCAATTAGTTTATTATGTAGAGTAC